GCTGGGCTCTCCCGGGCGTCGCCGAGCCGGGGGCACCTGCGACTGTGACGCGCGGGTGGTCGGCGGGGGCCCCGCTGCCGAACACCACGGTCCAGTGCCCCGCGGGTTCCGTGCCCCCCTCGGGTGAGTACTCGTTTCCTTGCTCGCGTTGGACGAAGCCCGACCGAGGAGGGAGCGCAGCGGTCGTACGACTCGACCCAGTTCAAGTTGGTCATCACGAACGTGGCTTGGGTTAAACCTTTCCGGACCGTCGGGTTCTAAGTTCGCTTTTTTCTGCTGTTGGAGCATTTCAGTGAAAAAGTGTGTGGAAAGTACTAGAAGTCAAAAACCTGCCCTCCCTCCGAGGCCACCGAGTGCCTCGTGCCGCTGCTCTGGGACTCCTCCAGCAGAGTTTTAGAAAGTTTCACATCATCTAAGTTACCTGGGCGAAACGCTGCTTTTTTGTTGTCGTTGTTGCTAAAACTGAGGTAAACGTTGGCTTTCTGATGACCCTGGAGAGTTTGCAGTTTAGGCGCAGTGAAGTTGAGAACGGGTCCAGTTCTGCTAATTCATGGGACTGCACGTGAGGCTGCTGTGTTCCCCAGAAGATATTTTCTGGGGATAATGATTCGGGAATAGATGGGCAGTGTCAGAGTAATCCTCTTCAAATACGAGTTGGTGAATTTGAAATGTGTGAGTGTGCTAAGGAAAAAATGGAAATAAAAAAAAAAAAGAAAGTTCCCTGGGGCTTTTTAGGTGAATTCGTCAAAACAAAAGCAGACCTATTAAATGGCTCCTATTATAATTGCTTTCACTTTATTTTTAGGGAAAATGAGGTCATATTAGGAACTTCTTACACTTTCATTTTTCAGGTTAAAACATTAGTTAATTGAAAGTGAGCCTGTTTTTTTTCCAGATTAAAAAAAAAAAAAACATAAACCTAAAACGAGATATTGACATAACGCCTTTTAAACATTATAGTAGTAAGTGACATGCTTATTGTTATTTCTTGGTGTTAACCCCGAGTGTTTTACATACTGGCATCATTACTTCACCGTAAATCTTCAAAATTAACTTCTCTCTTTAAGGTGTTTTCATATGTATATGTATTTTATTATTTTTTAATTAGGCAGGACAGTAATGAAAGACTGTGAAACTTAATACAACTGTTTGCCCAAGAGCCCAAGTTAGTTTCACTTTCAGATGTTTTTATAGTTGAGACTGGTTAGCTGGAAGGAGTTTAAGCTTCAGCTTGTGAAAGTAAATTCATTTTTCTGAAAGTATGTTAATTTTCTAATAAATGAGCATTTTAAAAATGTGTTCATATGTTATTTTTAAAATGTCTTTTCTAAGCAAATGGATCTAGGATTGCCATAACTTAGTTTAAAAAACCTGGGGTTTCTAGAGTTTCATTTCCCAGTGAAGTTGAATACTATCCCCTTCCCCAATTTGGGAAACTAAAACCTTGGAAAACTACGTTACTTTAGAAATAACCCTTTTCTTTATCTTTTCTACAAGTGGATATTTGAATGTACATTGTACTGTTTAAAAAGCAACATTTGCCGTGACAGATGATCCATAAACTCATAGTTCCTTTGAGGTGTTTTTCATTTTTCTGCTTAAGTTGGGTGGTGGTTTTGTGGGCAGCTGGCAGATTTTCAACATTTTATTTATCAAGGCATTTTGAAAACAGAAGCAGGCAGGGCCACTTGTTTTATGATAAACAGGAATTGTTTCTACTTCAGTAATTTCTTTACCAGACGTTTTAATTGGTAAGAAAAAAATATATTTATGAGTGAAATAAAAACAAATGAATTGTTTGGAGCACTTTTCAAAATGCAGCCTTGTGAGAAAAACTAAACAATATGATTTTCAAAGGACTTAATCTTTTGTTAACTTCTCAAAATTAATGAAATTAGCACTACTGAGTGTAAATGGCTTGTAAAATGTTTTGCTAATTATTCCTCACTACTCTGTGATGAAAAACTGATGGTAGTCATCCAAGTTCAAATAATCAGTGATGCAGAAAGAATGGGAGTTCATTGCTTCTGGCGTGTTTGAGCTCTGAGCTTGATTAGCAGTTGGTTTTGAGTCTGTGCTGTGTTCCAATAAAAGACATAATAACTGATTATCAATAGGAAGAGTGAACTTGTGCTTGTCATCAGCAGTAGGAGAGACGAATTTGTACTCAGACATATACATACATTCATCTAATTTGTTGTGAAATGCATATAGGACAGTCTGACTTCACTCTCATCTTCATCTTCCCAACTAATGTTTGGTGGTTGCATTTATTTCACAAATACTTGATTTGCCAGTTGCTGGAGATACAGTTCTGAATTAGATGGATAAGATTCCTGATCTTATGAAACTTCAATTGTAGTGTTAGGGGTGAGGTAGACAAATAAATACAGTGTTTTCAAATAGTGGTGTTACAAGAGCAATAAAACATGAGAATGTGGAACAGAGAGAGCTGGAGTTTGAGTGGAAGGGATTTCTGAAGAGGTGACATTTGTGCTGAGACCTGAATGAGGTGGGAGGAGTCAGTCATTTGGAGATCTGGAAGAGCAAATGGAGAGGCTCAAAGGCTGCAGTGAAGTTGATCTACTCTTTTGGGTAAGGATGGAAAACGCATGTGAGTAGAGAACAGTGAGTGAGAGCATGGGTGACACAGGATGCAGGTAGAAGTGGAGAGGTGTCAAATGCTGGGCTTCGGAGGCTACATTAAGAAATCGATTCCAAGTTCAAATAGAAGCCATTGGAGAGTTTTAAGCAGAAAAGAATGCTGTGATTTAATTTAAGTTTTAAAGAGGGTATTTAATTGAATCTTTGCTGCTGTCACATTGTTTTATGTAACACTAAGGGAAAAATACTGTCAATTAAACTGATATGCTATTGATTTTAGGAAGCATCGCAATTTTAAAGTCATCAAAGTATAAAAATTTGTGTATCTTAGAATTGTTGAAAATATGGATTAATGATAAGGAATTACTGTATCCTATCCGGTGAGAATTTTAGCCATTAGAAATCTATAAACTAGGCATTCAGTGATAAGAACTAATAATTTTGATTATTTTCTCAAACTTTGCCCTCCTGGGGTTATTAACTAAATTCTATGGTCATACTATGTACCTTGTATATGTTCCAAATGTATTTTGGAAGGGAATGGTAATAGGTAGCTCTCACTATCCTTATCCATCTTTCTTGGCAGTTCTGATACCCGATTTGCAATTACATTGAACAACAAGGATGCCCTCACTGGAGATGAAGAGACCTTGGCTTCATATGGGATTGTTTCTGGGGACTTGATATGTTTGATTCTTGAAGATGCCATTCCAGCACCTAACTTACCTTCATCCACAGATTCAGAGCATTCTTCACTTCAGAGTAATGACCAACCCTCTTTGGCTACCAGCTCCAATCAGGCCAGCATACGGGATGAACAACTGAGTGGGTCATTCCAAGGACAGGCAGCCCAATCTGATGTCTGGAATACTGGCGATATGGTGCGTATTAAAGACCAAGTTATGAAACAGAGTAGGTGGCAAGTCATGTTGAACACTTCTGTACCAGTCAGGATAATTATCACCAATAGCCTGCAGATTATATTCTTATAGAACATTTTTTTTTTTTTTCAGTTGGAGTCTTACTCTGCCACCCAGACTGGAGTGCAGTGGGCACTCCCTGCCACCGCAGCCTTGACCTGCTGGGCTCCGGCGATCCTTCTGCCTCAGCCTTTCAAGTAGCTGGAACTACAGGCGCGTGCTACCACACCTGCCTAATTTTTTGATTTATTGTAGAGATGAGGTCTTGCCAAGTTGCCCAGGCGGGTCTCGAACCCGCAGGCTCAGGCAGTCCACTCACCTCGGTCTCCCAATACGCGGGATTACAGGCTGAGCCACCAAGCCCGGCTTAGAACATTTTTTTTAACTGCTAGACTCCTGTACCAATATTGGGCTGCCATTCTAAAGTACCAAGTTTTTTACCTATTCATTTTGTTTAGATACTCCTTCAGATAAATTACCCCTTGACTTATATTGTGGTCTCTAAGGTTTGCTTCTCTGGTCTTCTCCACCCCTTACGGCTATATATGTAGTCTGGTTATTTCCAAATGATTTGCAGGACATTTATACCCGGAGTTTTAAATTGTCATTGCAGACTCTATATGTCCAACATACATTTGGAAATATTTGTGCTGATATTCTCTTCCCAAACCAGGTACCCTTCTCTGATTGTCACTGGCATGACTGTTTTCCTGTGGCTTTCGACTCCTTGTATCCAATCCATTTCCAAACCTTGTCCATTTCTCTTTTCCATTTCAGGATTCTAGTGTCAATGTCTCAATTTACTTTTGTGGTTTATCTTCTTCTTATGGCTTTTTGATTCTGCTGTTCTCTTGCTCTTCAGTAACTCTGTCTCATAGATAAACTTGTACTTGTATTTTTTGAACTGAAAAAGAACAGATACCTCTAGTTCAATCCTGCCCTTTTGTGATGTCTGTCCTTCGGTACCTAGTATTCAAGGCTTTCTGAAAAGTTGCCCACCCAACCTTTCCAGGACTAGATTCTATTCTTCCCTCCTATAAACCATCATCTACAATCAGACCAGACTCCTTATCACTTCCCTCCACAAACCAGCACATTCACCTGCCTGCATGTTCATGTGCATAGTCTGGTGACTGCTTTCCTGTCTTTCTTCATCCACACTGAAACCCATTACCTTTTCTCCCTCTCCTATCTATGCTTCTGTCCATCTTCCAAGGCTTTTTTTTTTTTTTTTTTGAGTTGGAGTCTCACTCTGGCTCCCAGGCTGGAGTGCAGTGGCATGCTCCCAGCCGCCGCAGCCTCCACCTGCCGGGCTCCGACCATCCTCCTGCCTCAGCCTTCCAAGAAGCTGGAACTACAGGTGTGCGTTACCATGCCTGGCTAATTTTTGATGTATTGCAGAGACGAGGTCTCACCAAGTTGTCTGGGCGGGTCTTGAACCTGTGGGCTCAGGCAATCCATTTGCCTCAGCCTCCCAAAGTCCTGGGATTACAGGCTGAGCCACTGAGCCTGGCCTTTCCAAGGCTCTTGCCGGTCATAGCCCAGTAGTTTTCTTTACTTTCTGTGTATTAATTTCTTTATTTTCTTCTGCATGTCTCATTATTTATCCCATCTTTTAATTTCTTGAATGGCCCAAATGATCACTTTTATGAATTTTAAATACCAATACGTATGCCATCTTGTTAATTGTTCTGTGTGTGTATGCTTATTCCATCAACTTAATTTTTTTTTTGTGTTGACCTTAAACATTTATGAGTATAAGTGTTCATGGTACCTGTTGTGGATTAAGTGTAGACATATTAAAAAATACTTTTTTTTAGAGACAAAGTCTCACTCTGTCACCCAGGCTAGAGCGCAGTGGTGTAATCATAGCTCACTGCAGCCTCAACTTCCTGGGCTCAAGTGATCCTCCTTCCTCAGCCTTCCAAGTACCTGTGACTACAGAAGTGTGCCATTGATCATGCCTGGCAAATTTCCTTAGTTTTTGTAGATTCAGGGTTTTTGCTAGGTTGCCCAGGCTGGTCTCGAACTCCTGGCTTCAGTCTTCCTGCCCTGGCCTCCCAAAGTGCTGGAATGACAGGTGTGAGCTACTGCACCTGGCCAAAAAATACCTTTTAATAGTTTGGTAAATTGTGGAAATCAACTATGTCCAGATATGTGGATTTTAATTTATTTTATAAATTATTATTATTTGAGTGGAATTTCACTCTGTCACCCAGGCTGGAGTGCAGTGGCATGCTCATGGCTCACCACAGCCTCAACCTCCTGGACTTAGGCTATCCTCCTGCCTCAGCCTCCTAAGTAGCTGGGACTATAGGCGTGTGCCACCATACCTGGCTAATTTTTCTTACTTTTTGTAGAGATGAAAACCAGCCTAGGCTGGTTTTGAACTCCTGGGCTCAAGTGATCCTCCTGCTGCCTTGGCCTCAAAGTACTGAGATTACAGGCATGAGCCACTGCGCCCGGCCAAAAAATACTTTTTTAATATATTAGTAAATTGTGAGAGGTCATCTGTGTCCAGATAGGTGGGTTTTAATTTATTTTAGAAATTATTGTTTAATCTGTGTGTTTCTGCCTCAAATAGTTAACCAGGGGAATACTACAATTTAAGTTACATTTCTGAGTCTTTCTTGTTGAAGGACTTGTTCAGAGATAAGTTAGGTAGAAGAGCCCCTTCCCTTTACTTTTGTGTACTGTTAAAATTGTCCAGTAAGATGAAACTTTTCATCATATATTATGTGGTACTTTACTAGTTTTCGTTTAGAAAATCTTGAGAAATTAATGTGGTCTTAAGTTAGTTATTTTAGTTCTAAAAGCATATTGTTTTGTATCCTAAGATTTGCGTAGGGTGACAATAAAATCTTAGTAATAAAACAGCTTGAAATCTCATAAAAATGCTTTGAATACTGGAAACGGTACACTGTGCTAATTCAATGTTTAATGGAGCATTAGAAATGAAAGATAGATGGGTAAAAGTTGAAACCATAGAAGATAAATTTTGCTCTTGTAATTAAGTATAAATTAATTTTCTTATTTCATTGTATTTGAGAATCCATCCAGTACCTGTTCAGTCATTAATAAGAAACAGGGATAACATGTATCAGATCCTAATATTAGCTATAATGCATTTTAGTCCCTTGTTTTAGTCTTTTGTAAATGACATATGGCAAAATGATCTGCTTAGTACTCAGCTTTTTTTTTTTTTTCATTTCCACACATCTGAAGAATATGATAAATATTTGTATCAGAATAGCTCAGAGAATGTCAGTGATTTTCATGCATAGGAGTAAGGTTTCACAAGACATCAGGGGATTCTGATGTCTCCTCATGTGCTTATTAGCTTGGGGTTAGCCTTTTTTCCTCTTTTTTTTGGTCTGAGTCTCACTCTGTTGTCTAGGCTGGAATGCAGTGGCATGATCATGGCTCACCGTAGCCTTGACTGGCATGCCACTACACTGGGTTAATTTTATTTTTTATTTTTTGTAGAGACAAGGTCTCACTATGTTGCCTAGGCTGGTCTAGGACTCCAGGGCTCAAGCAGTTTTCCTGCATTGGCCTCCCAAAGTGCTGGGATCACAGGTGTGAGCTGCTGGGCCTGGCCAGGGTTACCCTTTTATATTTTTTTCATATATATTCAGTCCCACACAACTGTCAATAAGTGATAAATGGCCAACAGTTGGGCATAATGGTGAAGGAACAAGGAGTCTGTATTCCATAATTTAGCTTTATGTAAGTGGTTTTTAATATAATTTGCTCAAAAAGTATGGAAATGATTTTTTAGGTAGTATGAATTGAAACAAGTTTTTAATAGAGGACACTCAGAGAAATGCAGGAGGTGAAATTGGCCTCCAGGTTTTAACAAGATAATTTGAATCTTTTCTATAAGCCATCAGGACTTACTTAGTTCCTCAGAGATTTTGGAAGAACAGCTATCACCTCCAGCTCCTTACATTCCTCCAACTTTTTGTATGTACTTTGTAATTTTAATTTCCTCTGCTTCTTCTTTAATGGAAATATAAGCTTAAAAAGAAGAAACATGTGCTTTGCATTAAGAGTTGAGCACATGCCTAGAGAACAAGCTTTCTGAGAAAAATTAATATAGGTAATTTAGTTTTATTGAAGCAGCTTATTACATCTAAAAGCCTGAACTTCAGTTTTGGAGATCCGAGTTCATTTCAGATTTTTATTAGCTGGTAGCCTTGACTGCATTATTTAATCTTTCTAAGTTAAAATTATAGCATCTATAAAAAGGCAATATCGTTTGCCTTTCCTATTTTATAGGATTGTTGTAAGGCACAAATGAGAAAACATCTTGCAAATAAAAACATGGACAGACTTAGAGGCTATAATACTGAGTGATCGATCACAGAAACAATCGAGTGTCACAGCAGACCTTGAACAACTTCATAATACTATAAGAAAGGAATTGGCAGTAGTGGGAAACTGCTGGGGGGTCACATCTCATCAACAAGGGTACCTGCATAATGAACATTTGTATGCCTAACCCTGAATTGTACCCCACATATATAGAATAAAAAGTTAAAATAATTTTTAAAAAATGATAAAGTTGTAAGATAGAATTATGAGTCCGTTAGCATTTGTTCAACAAGCATTTATTGAATACCTACTATGTGTCAGGTATGTAATGGGGTTACAGAAGTGGGTGACATGTAGTCTGGTTTTTCATAAGCTTGCAGTCAGGAAAGGATGCAGATAATCTGAAAATTACAACGTGATAAGTGCAATTAGCACAGCCTTTGCAAGGCAGTGTGATGGTCTGTATTGCCTTTGTTGAAGAGGTGGGAGTTAGAGAGGACTGACAGAAAGTGAACTTGATAATGAATCAGAGATGCATTTGGACTTAGTTTTGTGGGCCTGCATTTCTCCAAGTGTCCTCTATGAAAAACTTGTTTAATGAGTTTGTAAGTGTTATAGGGATGCTGAGTGTTGAGGAAGGAGGATAGTGTTTTTGATTCAATGTTATGTACACATGATTATTACTATACTTTTTAGAGCTTTTATGATGCTAAAAGTATATTTTGTGACTACGGAGGGTGAGGTTAATTGACTGGGCACATAGCATTTTCCACACTTTTTTTTATGTAGACCAACTTTTTTTTCCTAAGAAAATTAAGGGACAGTTAAGGGAAATGCTGTTTTCAGTGTTGGGGAAATGTTGGTATATTTTAAGCTGGGACATAGGATATAACTAGATTCGTAATTGTCAAAAAACTGACAGCAATGAGAGGAACAGAAGACAAAGTGGAGGCAGGCATGCTTGCAGGGGAGGCTATTGCTGGAGATCAGGAGATAAAGGATGAATGTAAAGTGCCAATGGAGTAGGAAGGAGCAAATGTTAGAGATATTTAGGAATTACTTTCTGTGGAACTTTAAAGACTGGTCAGATTTGGAGTGAGGGTTAGGAAGGAGTCTTAAGTTGATTTCCAGATTTTTGGCATATCAGTTAGAATTAATAGAGGTAGGGAATTCAGGATGGAGGTGTAAGTTGGAGGCTTTTTTACTTATGAGGTCTTGCTTAAAATTTCTCCCATTTCTGAACCCAAGGATGTGCTTTGGCTGAGCACTAATCTCAGTTCACTTTAGGATACAAAATGTACTGTGTACAAATAAGTTTTTTTAATGACTTCATTGTCTTTTGTTATCCTTTTCAGGCAGAGCCTAGTCAAAATGTTGAAGCTGAGTCAATTCAGGATGTTGTGATTATGGAAGAGGTCACAGGTTTCTATCCCTCAGAACCCATGCTCTGCAGTGAATCAGTGGACGGGCAAGTGCCACATTCGCTGGAGACCTTATATCAGTCAGCTGACTGTTCTGATGCCAGTGATGCTTTAATAGTGTCGATACATCTTCTTATGTTGGAGTCAGGCTACATACCTCAGGTAAGTGCTGCAAGCAAAAACCAGGCATATTTTTGGGATAAAAACTTCCCATTGGGAAAAAGGATGTATCAGTATCAATAAATACCACTAGGGTGTTGTGTTGTTCTAGGGGACATCATAAATCTAGCAAACCACTTGAATGTTCCCTTTCAGGGCACATAAAGAGATTGTTTTTGATTATACAGACTTATGCAAGCATAGATTTTTCGGATATGTGTGTTTTCTTGAAGTTTTCCATTCAAATTGCACGAAGAAGCAAATAAAGAGATGGAATATATACTGAGATATGATTGATCATTTGAGAAGTGGTTTTCAGGAATCACTATGTCCTTCCACATCTTCTTTGAATATTAGACTAGACAATAAATTACATAGGATTAATGTGTGAGGAAGAAAACGAGACTGCATTGTCTGCTTGAATAGAAAAACGCCAGGTGGAAGATGTCAAACATTATTATTGCACAACATAAATGAATGAATCTGCAGTGCATATCGATGACTATTTCACATTATCACATGTTAGAAAAATATAATCCAAAAAATTTTAATATATTTGTCATAAATAAGTTCCTCAAAGTCCAAATTTCCATTATAAGTCAAATATCATTATAATAAAATAATTGGTTCCAGCGCTTTTCTATTTAATATGAAGTGATTAGTTTTTCACTACTTAGTAAAAACATCCGGTTGCTGGTAGGTGATCTGTGAGATGTCTCCAAGTGTGAAGCGTTAAATGTGTTTGAGTATTGAATGTAAAATGTCATGATAGGCTGTGCTAAGCACTCAGTAAATGTTCCCTTCCCTCTTTCCTTTTTTTCTTCCTTCATTTCTTTTTGTCAGTTTTTAGTTAGTATAATAGAGGTGATGGCAACTGTGACTAATAAAGACAAGAGATTATATGTGATAATATGTAGATAAAGTCTGTTAATGAGAATGCTTTGGGCATGACCAGGCAGCTGACAGGTTATGTTATTTTTTATGTAATGGCTCTGTAAAATGCCAGTAACTTAATAAGATTCAGTTAGGAAGAGGGATACTGCTATTATGCTGTAGTTGCTTATCTTCATTCATTCATTCAGTCACTATTTGATAAGCATTTACCAATGTCAGGTGCCGTGCTTTGTCCCTGTTCTCAGCTTGTTTATACATGTGATCCCTGCGCTCAGTTTGCCCATAGTCTGGGAGTGGCAAAGATAGACAAGTATATAAACCACTATACTGTATCAGTTAAGTTCTAGAAGAGACATTTCCATATCTAGGATGTCAGGAATTCACAGAGGAGAACATTTAGAGTAGAGCTTCTCAAACTTTAATATGTTTAGGAATACTTGAGGATCCATTCAAATACAAATTCTGATTTAGTAAATCTAGAATGGAGCTTGAACTTCTGCATACTCCTCCACAATACTGATGCTGCTGGTCTGTGGGCCATGTTATAGGTTAAAAAGATATAATTTCATGATCATTATACACCTGCAGCATGCCATCTTCTGAGCTAGTAACTAGGGTATAAAAATATTGGGGAATTCCTTGGTTTTAGGGAGTCTAAGTAAGACAAATAAAAAGATAATTATAATGTATAAATAACACAGATAAAACAACATAGCAGAAGTATGTAACAGTAGAAATAGAGGAGAATGCTAAGGGATGAAAGAGGGAATGATGAACAGGATTTTTTTTTTTTTTTTTTTTTGTAAAAGGCTTTACAAAGAAGGTGGTATTTGACCTGGAGTCTTAAGTAGCCATATGACTTTTCTAGATGGTGAAGTGAGTAGTTGTAGAGAGCAATCACTCCCTATTTCTATGATATAATTTTACTTTCTTGAGCAAAAATTTTGATTAAAAATGTTGCAATATATTATCCTCCATTAATACCAGTATTAATGATATGATACATTTTATTAAGGGGACTATATGGAATGCTTATTTCTAAACAAGTTTTAGGGGTCTTTTGGATTTTTAATCTTTTTGAGAGTAACACCTTTCTTCATTATTTGTTTTCGTTTCATTTCATTCCCCAGGGGACTGAAGCCAAAGCAGTGTCCATGCCAGAGAAGTGGAAGTCTCGTGGTGTGTACAAGCTGCAGTACACACACCCTCTCTGTGAGGGCGGCTCTTCTTCTCTCACCTGTGTGCCTTTGGGAAACCTGGTCGTCATAAATGGTGATTGGACAGCATAGTGATGGTTGCCAGTTTATGGATACTCACATGATTCTTCCCAGTGTTTTATAGCCATTGTAGTGATTGCTATCCTGACATAGTTGTGATTCTTTCTCAGCTTTATTTATTTAACTCCCAGATCACTGTTAACATATGTCTGAAAGATATAGCATATGATGTCGATGTTTAGGCCAGCTGCCTTTACTCTTGGGGCAGCCATTTTCTTTTGATGTCTTAGCCTTTGTAATATTTTGCTCTAGGGGAGTTGTAATAATAAGAGTAAAATGAGCCTATTACACATGCACTCTTTAAAGAATACTTTTTCTTTCTTTGTGCTTGTGGGTGACTTTGTTTTTGTTTTTTTAACGAAGGCCTTGCACTGAGCGATGGAGACATAGAGCTGGGGTCACCATTTATATAGTTTGGCATCTCTGTGACCCACAGTTTTCAGAAATAGTGCTATGGGTTCTGAGGCCTTAGTGTGTGTTTTTTGCAACATCCCCCCACCAGCAACCAACAAGTCACTCTGAATAAAGAGTTTCTTTTTCTATTTCACTTCTTTAACATTAAGAAATTTTGCTGGGAAAGCAGTACATTTATTTATCTTTGTATTTTATTTGAGCTCAGATGCCACTTTGGTCCATACCAGCCCCTAGTGGTCTATAGAGTGGTTTCATAATCACACACACCGGACATCCATTCAAGTGACTAGGAGTTTTCTTTTTTTAATTGTGTTTTGTTTGTTTGTTTTAAAGTTTTATCCTTTTAGCTAGTTAAGAGAGTTTGGAAAGATTAGAGTGACTGCATTTTTGCTTATTCAGTGTAAATTTTTTTTTTTTAGCAAAGGCAGTTGCTTTGATACCTTAGGTCAGAGATTTTTAACATGTTTTGCAGTTTCTGGTTTCTGCTGAGTTGGAAGTTGGGGATAATCCCTGTTACCGCTTATACCTTGAGCAGCAACATGTTTATCTGTTTGATTTGTTCAGGTCTTGTGCAAGATTGTGCTTGAAAATCTTTTTTCTGCTGTATTTTATTTTGAAAGCAACTGATTTATACTGTCTTAATCTTTAAAATGGAGGATAGCTCTAGGTTCCCTCTTATGACATTGCTGCTTTTTTTTTTTTAATCACTAGAATCTTTGAAATGTTACTGAAAAACCTAAAAATTTCAACTCTAACAGCTTTGGTGGTACCCCACACTTGTCAGGACATGTGCGCACAATGTCTTCAACAATTCATCACAGTTAGCAAATGTAGCTTTTAGTTTGGCATTCTTGTCTACAGAGTGTCAACAGTTTCTGCCTTCATCTATTCATTGTACTACATGACATCATAATTTGCAGGGCTGAAGCTACCAAGTGGTAAATGTGAAGCGGTAATTTTTGCCTTATGTTCTCATAAAAGCACCTAATGACGTGTGTAATAACCTCTATTCACTAGTTTCAGGATACTAAATATAAAAAGAGTAGCTGTTAAATGTCTTGAAGATTTCTTAATTTCTGATGTTTTGTTTCTTTACTATTTTTGGTAAATCAGCTACTTGCAGACTTGGGTGATAGCCAGCCATTCCAGGCTTGATTCTTTGAAAAGAAGCAGTGTGTCCTTCCATTTTTTTCTTTATCCAAGGCATCCAGCTTGGTGCACGTGTGCATAAGCACATCACTGGCTCTTTCATGGAATGAGATGAAGTGTGCCTTTGTAGACATGATTAAAGTTGAACCCTCTGGTGATGTCAGGAATAGTGGTCTCTTGGGCCAAGAGAGAGATGGTGCTGTGAAAACTAGCAGGATTCTTTTAATGAACAAGGGAAGACTCATTGCCAAGGGTTAAATAAAAAAATAAATGGAATTGTTAGTGACTTCTTTAGAAATAATGATTTTATTGTGTTTAGTTACCCCCTGTTAACCTTGTTGCATATCTTTCAATTACTAATAAGCTACTGCTGGTAATACTTAATGGATTTTATATAAAGGATGCTTACTGTAGTTTTTAAAGATGGTGATGTAGAGTGATTTTGCTTCATGTGATGCAGGGTTTACACTTTTGACCTTGCTGTGAGAGAAAGAAATAGACAAAGAGCAGTTTGTTGTGTATATTGGGGACAAGGAAATGCAGTCCCATACTAAAAAGGGAAGGCAGCTGATGAAGTGACAAAATTGTTTATCATCTCTTATTTACAGCTACACTAAAAATCAACAATGAGATTAGAAGTGTGAAAAAATTGCAGCTGCTGCCAGAATCTTTTATTTGTAAAGAGGAACCAGGTAATGTAATGTAACTATGATTTAACTTTTGGGATAAAGCTTTGGGAGATTTGCTTTAAAAAAACTGAAAGGTAATATTCAAAAGATTGGAGATTTCTAAATAAGATTAAAGCAAATTCATGACAATGTTGTCTACTTAAGAATGCAAAGCTTTGAAAGAAAGAACGCAAAGATTTTGATTAGAATTTGATCAGTTTGTTTCCTGTTTTTCTTAGGGTCTTAGAGTGCTGAATTATCTTTATGCTGCTATTATGAAATAACACCTGTAATTTATCACATTCTGTTGATACTTCATAGTTCCTGTATTAATTTTTGGAGACCTTTCTGGCATTGTATGTAACCAATATGGAGAGAATTTGTGTTTTGTGACCTTATTGAAGATTACTGAAGGAAAAACTGCACTCAAAGTGTTCGTTTAAATCTATATAAATTTGATTGTTATTTGATGCAGATTGAAACTTTGCATTCTAGGTATGGTTTTGCTTAAATTCTTTTAAATTATTCATAGATGCAAAAAAGGCAGATTTTCATTTTTATTGTTTTCATTAGACCCAAATCGTGAGAGGCATTTCTAGGTGATCGAAGGAGAAGGAATGGGATGAAGAGAGGAAATGACATCTTTTAAGTGCTTGTTTTGTGTTGGACTTGTGCCTTAGCTCCCCGTTTCCTCATAGTAAACTTAGAGGTCCTGATGGGAGTGCTGTGGTATCCTGGGGAGGTTGCATTTACAGCATTCCTTTGAGGAAGGCTGGCTAGATCTAGATTGTTGCTTTGAAGGCCTAGAGACTTATTCTTGTTTGTTTCTAGGGCAGATCAGCCCTAAAAGACTGACTTATACTAGCTAAAACTAATAGTAAAGGCAGACAGCAGAATACATATTTATAATGGTCTCTGGTTGGGCATAGAATCAGAATCTGGGCATTAGCTGAACTCAACTTTTAATGTCAGACTTGACCAGTATTTCTCAATCTTTTAAAAATTATCATTCCCTTCAGGGGCCTTTGCAGATTTTTTTTTTTCCAATTCACTCTCCCTAAGAAAAATTTTAATACCACAAATATAAGATATATTTATATATTGTGACCCTTTAATCACAAACCAGTGTAATAGATAGGATTTTTTTTTGCCCTCCAAGGACTAGTTTTTGCCTCTTTGGGGACAATTTTACCCCTATAGAGAATGCATGAACTAGACTGATAAATTGGTAAAGATGGTCTTTTACCATTAGGATGAGAACAACTTGAAATTCCTTGGCTACAACACTGTACTTAGCACCATATAAGAGAGGCTCTTGCTATGGGGAGTGGAAATACTCTACAGTAGTAGAGGTTTTAATTCTGCCTTTATAGATCAGTAAACAGGCCCAGAAGAGGTTAAGCTAGTTCAGGCTCACAGAGCTAATAAATGGTGGGATTTAGGATTGCAATAGCTTTGACTGACTCCTAGCCTTTTAAAAACAACTTTTGGCCAGGTACAGTAGTGCACTCCTGTAATCCTAGCACTTTGAGAAGCTGAGCCAGGAGAATCACTTGAGCCCAAGAGTTTGAGATCAGCCTGGGCCCATAGCAAGACCTTGTCTTTACAAAAACCAAAACAAAACAGAAACAAAAACACAAAACACCTTTTGTAGAAATGTAGTTTAGATTCCTATTCTTTATCTGGTTTCTGTTAAATAGAAAGGAAATGAAAGGGAAGAAGAAAGTTAAGTCTTATATATTACAAGTTTATGACTGTTGTAATTAAGTATTTTAAAGTCTTAGGAATATGCTGCTCATTTGGCAAGTCATTTTAACGAATTTTTAAAAATAATTATGATATAGTACCTAGTAACTAACTAGGCACTGTTATTTATCTTTTTATTCTTAAGTTTCTAATTGAATACTTATATAACAGGTTGCTGGAGGAAAACACTTATTTAAAGAAAATTGGTCTTCATGCTTGAAAAAAACCCTTGAGGCAAATTGATTTTTAAAAATATCTTGACATCAGATTCCAACTCAATATTACAACAAAGATTTAGAGTTTAGCTGCATATCTTTTTTTGTTCCAATAATCAAATTATAATGAGTGTTTTATTTGTTATAAGTAGTGAAATTCATATATATGGAAAGGGGAGGGAGCAAGCATAAGCTGCCTACCAATATACTAGTCACTGTGCTTGGAGCTTGATATTTTGACAGCTCTTCTCTGGTATCGTAGTGGTGTCTGCTTTAAACAAGTGAGCAAGCAGGTGAAGATCAGAGGGGTAGGCAATTTGTCTAAGGTCATACCTTTGGTAAATAGCAAAACTGAAGTGGGAACCTTAGGTGCAACTTGGCAGTGCCTCTGTACATTAATGTACATATGAATCATCTAGGGATTTTATGAAAATACAGGTTCTGGTTTAGTAGGTCTGGAGGTCTGAGATTCAGTTGTTCTGAACGGTTCTCAGGTAATGTCAGTTCTGGTGTTCTATTGACTGCACTTTGAGTGGCAGTGTTGTGGCTAAAAGTGAACACTTTGGAGCCAGACAGACTTAGGTTTGTACCCTGCTCTGCCACTTATTATGAGGCCTTGGACAGGCCCTCTATACCTTGACCTGTTTTTATTTTTATTTATTTTTAATTTTTTTTATTTTAAAGATTTGGGATACAGTTTAGGATTTAGGGTTAGGTATACAAATGCTCATTATGCAGGTATCCTTGTTGATGAGGTATGCCCCCCCCCGCCCTTGGCAGTTTCCCTCAAATGCCAATCCCACCCCGCCTCCCCTGGCAGTTTCCCACTACTGCCATTGTCTGTTTTAAAATGGGGATAATAGTACATGTCTTTTACTTAGGTTAGAAATGATTATACAGGCTTGAAAAATACTTGATGCAGTTGCTGAAACATGGTCATCGTGTGATGAATGCTTTTATATTACTAGAATCTAAGCTCTACAAAAGTAGCTCCCCACTGTGTCCCCAGTGCTCAGAACAGATTGGAAGATATTCAGTAAATCTGTGTCATATGTATGAATCTCACACAAGTTTTTCCCATAGTTGCAGCCTATGAGCTGTATAGGTTGACTATAGCTCTGCTAACTTGATATCGTGGAATTTTTAGCTTTACATACAAGATTCAGTTTCTCAGAGTCATGCACTGTACTTCCTCTTATACTAGTGACATATTTATCTTTGTGAATTATTTGAGAATATTTACTACTTTGATTTGATTTTGCAGAAGTAAGAGACAGTTTTTCCACTTGATTTTTTGTTTTGATTTTTCATTAAATATTCTAGGGGAAAACGTAGCTAAGATATACAAAGATCTTCCGAAGCTCTCCCGCCTCTTCAAAGACCAGCTGGTGTATCCTCTTCTGGCTTTTACCCGACAAGGTGAGAGATGCTAAATTATTCCAGTTTGAATGGCTGCAAAGAATAGTAAGTGTACTTAGTATTCTTGGCCACTCTGTGACGTCTAACCTCCCTCTTTTTTCCCTGTAGTGACTAAGCTTAAATGTGAGTTCTTTAAATGTAACTTACTTCCTTGTTGTATTTCTGTACCATTTATATATATTTTTATTGTAGTCTTTTCCCAGTGTATCATAATTGTTGATATGGTTTCTTTCCACCTAAGGTTGTGAATACCTCGAAGGTAGGGAATGTGTCTTACTCAAGTTTTTGTATTCTTGTGGCCTAGCATTGGGTCTGGTCCATAATAGATGTTCAGTAAATATATAAATAAATGATATATAATCTGCAAATTGGATCTAAGGTATTTGTTTTTTTTAAATCAACGTTTTTTGAAGACTCTATGCCAGGCACTTTGTTGGATGTCTTACATCTGTTCTTATTTATTGCCAATAACTTAGAAGTAAATTTTATTATACTCATTTTATAAATGATGAAATTGTATTTCAGTGAGATTTATAATTCGCTTAAGATCCTTGTATTAGTTTTTTATTTGTGTTGCTGTAAAAAATATTTTAAAATCTCAGCAACTTAGGGTGAACTTTTATTTCTTTTTAAGTTTCTTATTTCTTTTTATATTTTATTTTAAAGATGTGAGGTACAATTCAGGATTAGATATACAAGTGGCCGGGCTCGGTGGCTCAGCCTGTAATCCTGCGCTTTGGGAGGCTGAGGTGAGTGGATTGCCTGAGCTTGCAGGTTTGAGACTTGCCTGGGCAATTTGGCGAGACCTCATCTCTACAATAAATCAAAAAATTAGCTGGGCATGGTAGCACGTGCCTGTAGTTCCAGCTACTTGGAAGGCTGAGGTGGAAGGATCGCCGGAGCCTAGCAGGTGGAGGCTGTGGTGGTCGGGAGCGGCCATTGTACTTCAGTCTGGGTAACGGAGTGAGACTCCAACTCAAAAAAGAAAAAAATAGATATATAAGTGGACAGTGTACAGGTAAAGTTTGGACCTCCCTTTGGTCCTCACTTCGCCTGGTTTGAGATCAGGTACCCTTTTTGTTGTTATGTGCCCTCCCACCACCACCCTGGCAGTATTCTGCTACTGCCAATCCCTTTCTTATAGTATTATGGTAAATGTTCAGGGTCCGCTTATGAGTGAGAACATGTGGTACTCAGTTCTTTGTTTCTGTGGTAGATCACTGATATCGTAATAGACTCTAAATTCATCCAAGTTACTGTGAAGTCCATATGTTTGTCCTTCTTTATGGCTGCGTAATATTCCATCATGTATATGTACACTTTTTTTTTTAATCCAGTCCAGTTTTGATGGGCAGCATGGTTGGTTCCATGTTTTTGCTACTATGAATAGTGCTGCAGTAAACATGCATGTGCAGGTATCTTTTTGGTAGAATGAGTTCCTCTGGCTGTATTCCTAGTAGGGAGATTGCTGGGTGGTGATTTCTAAAAGAACAAACATTTATTTCTGACTCATGTACATGTTGTTTGTGGGATTGCTTTGGCTGAGGGAGTGGTCTTTATCCAGGACATGAACATGTGGTGGGGGACAAGAGGGCCAGTGGGCCAAACATGAGTTGGTTCACAGCTTTTGCTCAGAAATGGTATATGCCACTTCCACTCACATTTCATTGGACAGATCAAGTCAAAAATGGCCAAACCTGATGGTAGTGGGGTGGGAAATATAATTATAGTACAGGAAGTGAGTAAGAACCATAATATAGTATATATCACAATTCTCTAGCTAGTAAGTAATTTCTGACTTACACAAATAGATATGTGGCTTTTATTTGCTATCTGTATGTAGAGAAATAAATTTGGGGACTGAGGTTGCTGACGTCATGACTATTATTACCATAGTCGTCATCTTTAGTTGGTAGTGAGGGAAGGGGAATAATATGAATTTTAAAATCCTTCGCTCTGTCTTTGTTGGATACTGATTATCTTTGCTAGTGGAGAATAGTATCACAAATTTTGGAAGAAACTATTAATCAAAAAATAATTTTCACTTGACTTTGAAACATACTGTTTTTGTGTCTTTTCCTTTCTTGGCTTTGTTTCTGAATGTATTTATCTTCCTATAGCCTGCTAGACATCAAATGATAGTAATTGCTAACACTTGAGTGCATATGCATGAATGTGCCAAACATTGTCCTAAGCGCTTTATACGTAGTAACACGTTTACTCTTAAAGTAGGTGGTATGTAATACTAACCCATTTTATAGATGAGGAAATTGAGTTAGAATTTAAATAAGTCATTCAAAGCACACATTAATAACTGACAGGAAGCCAGTTATAAAAGTCAATGGAGTATTTACCTTCTATAGTTGAATAGAGAAATTGTTGTTGTCTTGAGACAAAAGAGGTTGTTGGCTGGTATTGAGCAATTGTTGTAGTATTTGACCTGTATTAAAATGCACTTGTTTTTCTAATAAACATAAAGGGAATAAGGGCCTAGGCGTCTGTGAGTTTTAGTAGTAATTATAGTCAACCTCGGGTTAAAAATTTGTTGTAGATGATGTACTCTTGCATAATTAAGATTACCATCTAATTTTTCACCTTCTTAGAAAGGAACGAAGTTGCAACTTATTGACTATGGGAAATAGCCAGATGCTCTTTACTCAGTAATAGCTGTTACTTCTCTTTTTTCCTTTTTAGCACTGAACCTACCAGATGTATTTGGGTTGATTGTCCTCCCATTGGAGCTGAAGCTACGGATCTTCCGACTTTTGGATGTTCGTTCGGTCCTGGCTTTATCTGCAGTTTGTCGTGACCTATTAATTGCTTCAAATGACCCACTTCTGTGGAGGTGTTTATATTTGCGTGATTTTCGAGGTAATTTCCATAATGACATGTTAACAAGAAAGGGTTTCTCCATGGTCTTAATTACTTACCTTACCAAAAGGTGTTTAGTTATAGTCTTTTTTGTTTTTTGAGTTGCAGATGATCATAATGAGTAGGCTTACAGAGATTCTAAGCTTCATAGACCTTTGCCTGTGTCCTGAAAACTCTCCCCATTCATTTTTGTTTTCTCCACAACACTAATTGCTCATTAGATTGAGAAGATTATTTTGGGATAGGAAATAGAAGTAAGACAGGTTTATTCTCTCCGTAAGGGCCATCCTCAGTATTTGACTTAGAAATGAGCTGGCATTTCTACACGAATTCCATGATTGAGACCAGTGTGTTGGTTGAGTCTTGCTCACCTGTGCCATGTTGCTGGGCAGCTTTATTTCTGTATAGTCACATTATGGTGACCAGGTGACCATTTTGGCAGTGATGACAGTAGAACTTGTGCATCAGAATTTCCTGCTACGAGGCCAAAGCCTGATTGTGGAACTTCTTTTCTGCCACCACTGTTTTGCTGCATATAAGAGTTTTCAAATTATTGTTTGGCAGTGAGGTAGGTCATGAAATGGGTTACATTACAAAAAACAAAACAAAACAAAAGAACCACAATGGAAAAATCAGTATTTATTTTATAAATAGTATTCTTATTAATAAAGTAAGAACAAACTTCTATTTCAGTTATGTGAATACTGTGTTGCAATGTAAACGTTGTATGTGGTTCACATCAAAACAGGTTTGAATGATAATGCCATATATGGTGTTAACGTACTATCTCAGCAACTGTAAAAATCTGGTGAGTGGATTCCTCCCTTTTTTTTTCTTTAAGAGTAACGTAGGTCATTTGGATTGTTAAGAAATTAGTTTTTTTTTCTCTTAAAACTTCAAAATGTAAGAAGTGTAAATGACCTGGTTTGTTCTTTTCCTCCTCTTTGATTCCTAAGGTCCTCCCTTTCACTTTATTTATGCTCTTGAATCCAAAGTTTAAAATGCAATTTTGTCATAATTGGCAGCAAGTAAGCGTCATCTCAAATAGGAATTAACAACAACAACAAAATAGTCAAACAAAAAAGACAAAGTGACTAACATGTGGAAGAACTGACAAAGAAAGAGCAGGCTATGATAAAAATACTCATAAAAGGAGCAAACACCCTTTCACCTAATATATTAAAGTTCTAGTTTAAAATCCAATCAGTCTGTACCTAATTTCCAGATTGTGGTCCACAAGTTCATTTATAAGCTGTTCAGATTTTATAATGAATTTTCCTGTAGATATAATTATGGAGCTAGAGCTTTTATAAATCTTATTTCGCTCTAATGTAGTATGAGGAGACATCATCATCTTTTATGCAAACTCTTCCTTAGACTTACAGTTGAACAGATTCCTCTTTCCTCGTTTCACATATTTCAAATAAATAAGTACATTAAAAAATACGTAGTCATGGTCATACCCTTGATAGTTGCATCATTCAAAACATGGTTGGGATGAAATAATCTAACCCAAATAAGAAGAAAGCCTGAGTCAGCTTGACCTCCAGTAATGAAGGTGGGCTGTGATATAGAAACTCAGAGGTTGTTAACCCAGAGGTTGTAACATGAGACGGGAATTAGAAGCAGCTGACACACCTAGATGAGATTAGGGGAGAAGATGGGGCATGGGACCAGCAACCACATAACTCTCCACAGTCTCTGACGGACCACTGCATTGAATTACTACATAGCACAGAGCAGTGATGATTACCCTTAACCATCAAGAAGGGGTTTGAATTAGATTCAGGAAAGTACAAATGATAACAGTGTGTATTTTACAAATAATTTGTGATTTTTTTTCTTATGCTTAATGAGTAAGTTTCACTTTTTTTTCTTAGGACAAAAACCCATCATTTAATGCTGGATGAATGAAGAGTTTTTGAATCATTTTTGTTTTTCCTTTGTAGATAATACTATTAGAGTTCGAGACACAGACTGGAAAGAAGTAGGTATTTTTAAATATCATGGCTACTATTCATAACAAAAATAACTGGTGAATTAATATATTAAGGATATATCTTTACTTTTATGCTGTAATAAAATCTGTTTTTATTTAATTTGCTAAATTTCAGCAAGTGAGAATATTTTCAGCTTTTACTTCAGACTTAGTCCTTATTTTCTTCTAATTACACAGAAAATAAACTAATTATTTTTCATCTTTACATAATATAAAACAATCTTGTTGCAGAACAGATGCTAGAGTAGTCTTCAGCTGTTCAACTGAGTAAGAATCGTACATTATGAAAAGAACAAATTGTGTCGTTTTGTTTGCAGTTGACTACCATAAAAGACATTGATAGGACTGAGAAAAACTCCTTGGAATGAAGGAACGGAGAAGAATAAAATTCAGTGAAAGTCTTGAAATATGTGAAAAATGCACAATAATATTCTTAGGAATATAGCCTATCCTCTAAAATAAGTATCTATTTTAAATTGAAATCCATTAGATACATAATTTAGGTGAAAAAACAATTTCAAGTCCTGTCCCCTTCACCACTACCTTCATATTTTGTGGCATGACTTTTTCAACAAATATTTAAATTTTTCATTTTCAAAGTAGTCTAACTTGTTATCAGCATGGAAATTCTAGATTGCAGTCTTGAAAGCACATGTCACTCCTTTGAATTCATTGTTACTTCAGATTAGCACAATTGCTTGGTTGCAATGTGGGTAAAGAATAGAGTTCACTTGATATTACATTTGGAGCTGCTGCCTTATTTATGCAGCTAGAAACAGCAGAAGTTCTCTCCTGTGCATTGCTTTCTTTGCCTAGATAGTGTGGGAAAAGAAGAGACACGGGCATACCTTGTTTTATTGTGTTTTGCATTGTTGTACTTCATAGACATTGCAGTTTTTACGAATTGAAGGTTTGTGGCAACCCTGCATTGAGCAAGTTTTATTGGTGCCACTTTCCAACAGCATGTGTTTACTTCATGTCTTTGTGTTGCATTTTGGTCATTGTCACGATATTTAAAACTTTTTCATTATTACATCATTGTTTTAGGGCACCACAGACTGTGCCCACGTAAGTAAGATGCCAAACTTGATCGATAAGTGTCTGTGTTCTGACTGGCCTTTCTCCCGTCTCTGTCTTTCTCATCAGGCCTCTCTGTTCCCTGAGAAAAAAAAATATTGAAATCAGGCCAGTTAATAACCTTAAAGTGGCCTCTGAGTGTTTCCATGAAAGGAAGATTCACACACTTCTCACTTTAAATCAAAATCTAGAAATGATTAAGCTTAGTGAGGAAGGCATCTCAAAAGCTAGGCCTCTTGGACCAAAAAGTTAGCCAAGCTTTAAATGTAAAGGAAGAGTTCTTGAAGGAAATTAAAAGTGCTACTCCAGTGAACATGTGAATGATAAGAAAACAAGACTTATTGCTGATAAGGAGAAAGTTTGAGTGATCTGGATAGAAGATCAAACCAGCCACAACATTCCATTAAGCCAAAGCCTAATCCAGAGCAAGGCCCTTTATTCTCTTCAATTCTGTGAAGACTGAGAGAGGTGAGGAAACTGCAGAAGAAAAGTTGGAAACTAGTAGAGGTTGGTGTGTGAGGTTTAAGGAAAGAAGCTGTCTCCATAACATAAACATGCAAGGTGAAGCAGCAAGTGCTGATGGAGAAGCTGCAGTAAGTTATCCCGAAGACCTAGCTAAGATCATTGATGAAGGTGGCTTCACTAAGCCACAGATTTTCAGTGTAGGTCAAACAGCCTTCTATTGGAAGGAGATGCCATCTAGGACTTTCGTAGCTAGAGAGAAGTCAAGGCCTGGCTTCACAGCTTCAAAGGACAGACTGACCCTCTTGTTAGGGGCTAATACAGTTGGTGACTTTTAATGCTTAGTGACTATTTTGAAAATCCTGGAGTACTTAAGAATTATGCTAAGTCTACTCTGCCTGTGCTCCATAAATAAAACAACAAGCAGGCACAGTGGCTCACACCTGTTATCCCAGCACTTAGGGAGATGGAGGTGAGAGGATTGCCTGAGACTAGGGGTTGAGACCAGCATGGGCAACTTGGTGAGACCCCATTTCAACAATAAATAAAAAAATTAGCTGGTCATGGTGGCATGTACCTGTGGTTCCAGCTGCTTGGAAGGCTGAAGTGGAAGGATTGCCTGAGGCCAGCAGGCTGAGGCTGTACTTTAGCCTGGGTGACAGACTCCAACTCAAAAAAAAAAAAAAAAAAAGAATATTTGGGCTTCATGGTAGGAGGTGAAAATATCCACATTAACAGGAGTTTGGAAAAAGGTGATTCCAGCCCCCATGAATGACTTTGAGGGCCTAAAACTTCAGTGGAGGAAGTACATATGTGATGGAAATAGCAAGAGGACTAGGATTAGAAGTAGAGCCTAAAGATGGAGCTGAATTATTGCAATCTCATGATAAACTTATGAAATTGAGAAGTTGCTTCATTTAGAGGAGCAAAGTTGGTTTCTTGAGATGGAATCTTCCTGGTGAAGATGCTGCGAACACAGTTGAACTGACAACAGAGAATTTGGACTATTATGTAAATTTAGTTGATGAATCAGTGGTAGGGTTTTTTTGTTTTTTTTTTTTGAATTAGAATCTCACTCGGTTGCCCAGCCTGGAGTGCAGTGGCCGCTCCCGGCCACCGCAGCCTCGATCTGCTGGGCTCCAGCGATCCTTCCGCCTCAGCCTTCCGAGGAGCTGGAATTACAGACATGCGCCACCACACCCGGCTGATTTTTTTGATTCATTGCAGAGATGAGGTCTCGCTGCCCAGGTGGGTCTCGAACCCGCGGGCTCAGGCAATCCACTCACCCCAACCTCCCAAAGGCGCAGGATTACAGGCTGAGCCACTGAGCCCGGCTAGTGGTAGGGTTTTAAAGGATTGATTCCAATTATTATAATTGAAAAGTTCTGTGGGTAAAATGCTGTCAAACAGCATCGCATGTTACAAAAAAATCTTTCTTGAAGAGTCAGTTGATGCAGCAAACTTCATCGTTGTCTTATTTTAAGAAATTACCACAGCCACCCAAACTTTCAGCAAACTTTCAGCAGCCACCACCCTGATCAGTCAGCAGCCATCAACATCCAGACAAAGCCCTCCACCAGCAAAAAGATTACAACTCACTGAAGCCTTAGATGGTAGTTAGGATTTTTTAGCAATAAGGTATTTTATAATAAAATATGTAAATTGGTTTTTTTAGACTTAATGCTATTGCACACTTAAGAGACTACAGTATAGTGAAAACAACTTTTATGTTTATGTGCACTGGGAAACCACAAAATTTTTGTAACTTTATTGCAGTGGTCTGGGACCAAACCCACAGTGTCTCTGAGGTATGCCTGCAGATCTATACAGTGAAAGCAAATTAGATGTCAGGAAATATCCAGATCACTCACCGTGTGTGTGTATGTGTGTGTTTTTTTTCTACAGCTGTACAGGAAGCGGCACAAGCAAAGAAAAGAAGCCCAGAGAGGCCGGCATGTAATGTTCCTGCCGTCGTCACCCCACCCCATTCCATTTTACCCCAACCCCTTGAGCCCCAGGCCCTTTCCTCCCAGCTCCCTCCTTCCTCCAGGAATTATTGGGGGTGAATATGATGAAAGACCATCACTGCCCTATGTTGGGGACCCAATCAATTCACTCATTCCTGGGCCTGGGGAGACCCCCAGCCGGTTCCCTCCACTGAGACCACGTTTTGATCCAATTGGCCCATTTCCAGGACCTAACCCCATCTTGCCAGGGCGAGGTGGCCCCAATGACAGATTTCCCTTCAGACCCAGCAGGGGTCGGCCAACTGACAGCCGGCTGCCTTTCATGTGATTGCCTTGAGATCTCACTTCTGGAGCTCCATTTGCTTTTGGTTTTGTTTTTAAAACTACAGACATCATCTCCTTGGGGTGCTGATCTCTAGTGTTATTTTCTGATTGTGGTGGTGAGAAATGCACTCCCAGGTATTTTTCAATAGACATATTTACAGCTCCAGGGGTGGTAGGGCCTGAAGGTTACTCTGTGACAAGGCTGCCTTGGGAATAGTGGCCACTGCTTTCCCTGCTCTGGTTTCCTCTGTAGAATAAAGGCTGTTTCCTGATGATGTTCTGCACCAGATTAAAAAGAAGTGTAAATTGCACAGGAGTCTTGGCTTTTATTATAGAAAGATATGTAATATTCAGAACAGATCCATAATGTTACTTGGACATTTCAGAATGATCAGGAACCTACTGAGTGCCAGTAGATACTAGTTATGGTAGGGGCTTCTGGTTTTCTTTAGTGTATTCTATCTCTATGGAAAACTTGATTTGTGAAATGAATGAAGGCAGAGTTTGCTTGCACTGGACTTGGGGTGGGTAGTTTGGATGCCTAGCAGGTCAGTCCACCTCCTTCCTCCCTCTGCAGCTCTCTCTCAAGTTCTGTGGGGACCTTCCTGGGCTGTGAAGCAGCTCTGTTTGAAGGCCGTGTGGTTCTAGGGACTCCTGTTTGTGGCTCCTAGGGTGAGATTGTCATGGTTTTATTTTCTTTGTGTTTTGAACACTTAGTGCCTACTTTGTGCAGATTATATCTTTTAACAGAGTTTTACTGCTTTTGAGTGCTGGTCAGGTACTTGTTCTTCAAAGATAGCCTTCTTTTATTTGAAGAGCATTTTACTTTCACAACTTAAAGTACACAAAATTCAAGATTTATTTTTTCTACAAGAAAAAGGCCAAACACAAATGACTTATACAAACAACTATAGAAACATGCTACAGTGACAGAAATTAAAATCTGAATTGCAACATAGGAATAAAACACTACTGGCATCTGCAGAAAATAGGAATATTGCCAATATCTTCCTGCTTTTTAAAAAATTCTGTTTTGCATATAAGGAAATGACTTGGAATGTTATGTGTGCCAGGAATATTTTGAGTCCTACGTACAAGTGAAAATATTTTTTTAGTTTTTGCTACACATGTATATTGAATTTTTTTTCCAATCACAGTGAAGAAAATTCAGTCAATAATAAGATTTTGTTGAGGCCGTGTCACCTTTTGTAGATGATGTATTCTAAATGATTGGGTCTGTTGACATTTCTTTTTGTGATATTATGTAAGGTATGCACTACAGGACAGCCTTTTTAAAACAAATGTCCACTAGATGCCATATGGCTTTAATTGGATCTGGCTAAAAGGGTCACCTGGAAGCTTTGATGGGTTCAAATATATTCTAGTCTCTAATACATTTCTTTGTGACTTTGTAATGTTAGGTTGCAGTACGTGGGGTGAGTATGTGTAGTGGGCATGAGAGAATATAGTGATGACCAGAAGCACCAAGTACTATAAAACCACAAGTTTTCAGAATGCATCTTTTGAGTGGTCTTTGAGAGATCCTTGGATGGTGCTGGTGTCCCATGGGTACTGGTGCTTTTTAATCTCACCTCAGACTTGATTTGCAGACGTTACAAATCTCTCAGTTTACAATATTGGCAGTATGCCCTAAACCTAAGTTTGCAGACCTCTCACTACTTTATTATAAATTCTTAAAACAATCTTCAAAGCTTTTTTTCTTGAATAACTAAATTTGTAAAACCCTACATGTCTGTCATCACACTGAGACTGTCAAGCTGTGTGTGTTGCTGGTGTATAATGGGGGGAATGTCATGGTTTAGCAGTGGCGCATTCACTGCATGATTTTCTGACATCGCCTGGGTGCACTGTCATGGAAGCAAGAGACTTACTTAGTGCCATAGCAAGCATTTTAGTAAGATGCGGCTCTACATCATTGGCTTGTAGTCTTGCGACTTTGTGTGGCCCCCCTCTTCCCCTTTAGTTATTTTTATTAGCAAGAGCTTTCTACCCCTACTACCCCCCATTTATAAATGAAAGGTACATGTTTGGTGTGACTGGTAATCAAATCATGGAAGGTATCCTCCCTTCCCAGCTTAAGATTTTGTGATTCCCTGTGTAAAAACAGTGTTGAATTCTGACCTCTCCTACTCTTACTTTGCCTCTTTCCAATTCCTGAGATCACTACTTAGCTTAATATCTCTGATTCTTTCGTTGCCTAATGGAGCTGGATATGTTCAGGGCCCAGTGCCATGGCTTGCCTTTCTCCTGCCCTGACCAGTAGCTAGTTAACTGATTACAGAGCGTCAGAGGAGTCGGTGGGTCCCAGGGCTCTGCTGTGCTATACATGTGGGCAGTGCTTCTTTGGGTAGTCTCCAGTTCATTGCAGATGTGGGGTGGACAAGATTATTGAGAAGTACTGGGTAAGTCGCCTATAACAGAGGTTTAATTTCAACTAACTTTTCTGGGATTCCCTAAGAGGTTATGGCACTTAACATTTCTGCTGTTCATAACAAAACAGGTTAAACATTAGCTGAGTGCCAAGGAAATGTTAACTTGCTTGTGCTCTAGACTCCATCAAAGATCATGGAGACCAGACCCTTAGAGTATGAGAGTCTAGAAACTGAAATTAAAATTAGGCGGACCATTCGGCATAATGAAAGGTATTTAGGGTTTTAAAGGATTAAAACACACGTTGTAGAAGGAATGTTTCGTTTTTAGATTGGTTTTCTTTCCAGAAATGACTCACTAATTCCAAAAAATTCCTAGCCATTTTCATTTCCTCTTGGCCTGCTGGTTGAGATGTGAATACAAGGTCTAAGTGTCCATGTCTCCTCTTTCAGCTTCGTGTCTTGTCTATGAAAACAGAAAGGACCCTCTGTATCCTTTATGCATTGTGTTTGGTAAATGGACTGCTTTGACTTGCATGTCGACCCACCTTCCAGTTTGTTTCCAAACAAACCAGAAAGTGCCACCTTCTATTAGAGTCTAAATATTGACCTGAAACCCTTAATCAGTGACCACTGAGGAGTTGAGGGCAGCCTTTGACACTTGTCAGTACAGGTAGAAGCCAGCCAGCTTGCACTCTAGGATAGAAGAAAACATGAGATAGTATGAAAATGCTCTTGAGCGGTGAGCTGTGCTTCCAGGATGATTAAGTGACCATTTGTCCAGCTTGGAGGCAGGCTCTTTTAAGGCGGAGGCCTCTAGTTGACCTTGTGCACACAGAGGAGAGGGTCTCTAATCTTGTCCTCATCACTCCATTTTGCTTTTTGAGGACCAAAAAACAGATGCCTGCTTTAATGCCCCTGTGAACCTGGTGAAACTCTCACTACTTAGCTCGTGCCTCTAGCCTGCTTCCATTCACCAATTCAAAACACGGAAAACAAAATGAGACACCAAGCTATTGTATGAATCTGAATAAAGCACAAGAAATGAGTGTGTTCTCTGGCGTGGAAAGTGACAGGGTCCCAACAAGACACTGTGTGCCTGTGGGTGGTTGGAGCTGTGTCTCTGCCGTGTGGAAATGGCTGTGTCCTGTTGGGTGGTGGCATCTGTTTACTTCCTTTCCCTGGGCCTGGGCTGTCGTTGTACACACTTTGGTGTCCTAGCCTGTTTGTAGCCTCCTGTGATGCCTGCTGGCCCTGGCAGCCCTGCCATCAACTTGCAGGGGGCAGGCTCATGCTTTTCATTCAGCTTGCTCCCATTCCTTTTCAGATTTAGTTTAGAAGAGGTCTTTCAGGAGTTAAAACCCACCATTGATTTTCTTCATCTTTTCTCACTTATCTCATTTTACTGGTCTCTGTTGGTCTGATGCTGTTCCCAGGCAAGTGATGTTCTTACATTGAGACTCAGCCTTTTACTTCAACTTTAATACTTAGCTTACATTTTATTAATTTTGTAGTTTTCTAGGAGGGCCACCCTAATGCCTGTCCTGTGCACCTGCTGTGTGCCAAGCACCATGCCTGCACTTAACTCGCAGGGTTCACAAGAGAGGCACATGTGCCAGCCCACTTTCCCCTGGACTCCTGACACAGGAAATCCAGGCAAGAACTTCTATGACCTGACCAACGTGTGGTCCTTGTTTGTGGAGATGCTTGTTTTGGTCCCTACGGGATTGGGCTCCTCACTGTGCTGGTGACCACACTCGCACCAATACTGTTGCTCGTGTAGTGGCCTTTCCTGACAGCTTAGCTCAGGGTTATTGGTTTGACCTCAGAATGCTTGGGGAGATTGCAAAGCTGCAGGTTCTGGGTCCCAGGTCCTGAAGTTCTGACTCCTTTGGTCTGTAAATGAAGCTTCATCTGCCTGTGTTCACACACAGCCATAGCCCACACTTGGAGAAACTTTGTCCAGTCTCTCCCGCTCAGTTGTGTTTTGAGCTATATTTTATGACTAAGAATTGGGTGAGATTGTTGAAGAGTGATGAATGCCACAGGTGTTTCCTGTGTTCCTAATTTCCTGGAACATGAGGACTTCGTGGTATTATACCCTGCCCTACAAGTATTCTCTAACCCTTTTATTCAGAGCATTGCACAGCATTACACGTGTCTTTGAAAGAACTATTCCTGAGTAAAAGGGGGATTTTTTTTTAAATGGAAGAAACCAAACTTTAAGTCCTATAACTCTTTGTGCTTGAATCTTATGGTAGACTTAGGGGCAGTGCCCTGGGTCCTTCCACTCAGGCAACCTGAACTGCCACTGTCAGGAAGGAGAGCAGGGAGGGCCCAGAACCTTTAAGCAGGAGAGGCTGCTGCTTTGGGTTCCTCAACATGTTGCTTATGCTGGTGACCCCTCAGGGCCAAGTGAGGAAGTAGTTCTCTTAAAGCAGGTCTTCAGAGACCCCCTAGAAAGAGAATTATGAATGGAAAATTAAGCAACAGGATTTTAGGGTGCAGACTTGTTAGTTCCCAGTGATTATCCAGGCAGGATTTGTGTGTATTTAAGTATGGGACTCCCAGAATCCTTGGCAATTCACAAACCTTACGGTAACCAATATTTATACTTGCCTGTTAATTCCTTTCAGCAGAATGGCTTTAAAAGGTACCTGCGCTTGACATTTGGAATTTCCCCTCCTGGCTCCTGCCCCACCTGGCTTTCTTCAGAAGTTGCTAGGGAGTGGTGAAAGGATTAAGTCAATGGCAGCAGGAGGAAGATGCAAAGTTCTATGGAATCCCAAAGGTCTGATCTTTTCCCTTTTCATCTGACCTCCCCAAAGCATGGCTGTGGGTGTAGTGACTCCCAGGCCCCTTCCTGCCTCGGGGTCCAGAAGGGTGTGTTGGGGTGGGGACTGCACCGCGGTAGCTCTGTGTGTCTGACTACCCACCAATCTCTCAGCTGCCTCGGAAGGATTGGCTGCTCATTGTTGTGACCTGCTGGTTCTGTTGCATTGCATAGGTTGAGCAGGAAGGACGGGGGGTGGTCCTGGGCAGAGTGAGCTCCGGACATACCACCAGGGACTGTCCCATAGACAGGGAGCTCAGCTGAGCACAGAGACAGAATAAGGATGGTGAGACTTTTGGGTACCGGAAAGAGTCCTCACTGTTTATCTTGTGCCTCACACAATGGCAATTTTATTTGTTGCTGATCCTGGCCAGTGTAACCAGACCTAAGCCTATCAGTCTCCAGCTGCCAAATTATGGCCCCCAGGGGTCACCTTCAATTAGACCTCTCTGGTCTTATGCCAGTGCTGCTACTCACTACTGAATCCAAGACCAGGGTCCTGAACAAGACAGAGAGGACTTGAATCAGCTGGGGCTCTCCTGCTCTTAATACTGACCTGACTGGGGCGGGGGTGGGCAATGTAGGATGACCCCCGAGGCCACATGGACCTCTGACAGCCAGGTGTAAAGCTCGCACTTTGGACACTAAATCAGTCTCCAGCCAATAACCTGCCGAAGTCCAGCTTGGAGGCAGGCTCTTTCGAGGCTGAGGCCTCTAGTTGACCCTGTGCACAGAGGAGAGAGTCTCTAATCTTGTCCTCATCACTCCATTTTGCTTTTTGAGGACCAAAAAAGAGATGCCTGCTTTAATGCCCCTGAGAACCTGGTTAGGTCTCAGCTTATTATCAAGCAACCTATGGTGGTTTGGGCATAAAAGCAGGCAGCTTGGAAGCTGCTCTAGGCCAGTTTCTACCTACCTTTCTCCCTCTGTGGATGGTGAGGGGAAGACATAGCTCAGGTTGCAGAGTGGGTGGTGAGGCACTAACATGACTGTTGTAATATCCTAGGCTCTCTTGGGGACAAGGCGGCTTCTGGCACCTACAGTGTTTCTAGCACCAGGTGCTTGGTGATTTGGAACACCCTGAACTCCATCTGAGCATGAGAGACAGTCTGGTAGGGAAAAGAGTACTGGAAAGGGAGTCAAGACTACTTTTTCCAACTTGACAGTTGTTGAGTCAAATCAGGTTGGGTTTCACAATGTTAAAGCTAATTTCCTAAGCATATTTGACCATGGGGCCCTTTTGACATTGAGTAGCTTACCCAACACCTTGCTGTACAGAATCTGTGAAATGCTGAGCTGGAAGTGACTATCATTGCACTTTCTGATCCTGTGTCACTAGTCTGTTGCTTCTCTCTGTTTCCTGACATATCCTTTAAAAGGAAGCAACATTCCTGGTGGGAGGCCAGAGAGACCAAACTCTGATGTAATGCAGAAGGTTGCAGGAGCCCTAACCTAACCCTTTCCGCGGGCAGTTCAGGACCTCTTTCTCCTCTGAATGAGGAATGACTCTTACAAGAATCTGTGGCCTGCTCTTGGTTGTCTAGTGGAGGATAACGCTTTGGGTGTGAATGGTGTTGCAAAGAACTCCCTCTGTTTCTCCTGTGTTCTGAAAGGCCCCACTGGGCACACAGGGTCGGTCTCCTCCCCTTGTCCTCAAGACTCCACTAGTGGCTGGGTGTGATGGAGCCTTTGCCTGCCTGATCTGAGCAGCTCTTGAGCATGGATGGAACTGGCTTGGGCAGGGGTAGGTTCCCCAGGCTAGGGTTTTCTCTCTTTGTTTGCAAAGCACTGTTAAAAGATTATTGCCTCCTAGATTGCTGAGGTCCAGGACAGTGTCTGTGTTTGATGGAGGTGGGAAAGGCCTGGACGGACCTTTGCTCAAAGGTGAGCAAAACAGTCAGAAGAAATGTGAAAACTAGCCACACACAGACATCTCACTTAGTTACCTGGCGGAAAAGCAAGCATGTGGGTGTGCAGAGGGATGTGGCATCTGTCTTCCAGGCCTGCTTTGAGGACCCTGGAGGCTCTCAAAGGCCCACCCCTCAGTCAGACAGTGTTGGAATGTTGTGGTAAAGGAAAATGGGAATACGTGTAGATAATCAGCTTCTGGGTCAAAGGCGTTTGGAAATGTGTCCTCAGGCCCTCCATTCTGTTCCCCTCAGGAACAAGGCTGAGAAGGAAGATGAGCAGGCGAGGGGCGCTGTCACGAGCGCCCCTCCCTCCCAGCCGGGGCAGGACTAGTCAGAGAAGAGGCTGGCGAAAGACTTCCTCAGGTTGCGGATGGTCTCGGCCTTGGCCTCGTCTTCACTTGGGGTCCCACGCTGGGAGGTGTCGGATGTGCTGAGGCTGTTAGTCAGGGACTGAGATTTGCTGAAACAGAAAGGCAAGGGGTTGGGGGGAGGACAAGGTCAAGACTGACGAGGAAATGAACCTTGGGGGCTTGCCTGGAAGCCAGGTGGGTGACCCCAATCAGCGCAGGGAAAATTGGACCAGAAACCTGGATTTCCATTATGACACATGTAATTTACTCTGCAAGGTGGTGGTTGTTATCCTCATTTTTTAGGTTCAGAAATTGGGGCTCACAGAGTCAAGTGCCGTGTCCTGGTCCTCACAGCAAGTGCTGGGGGAGAACTCAAAGCTCACCCTCTTTCCGTTATGCCAGACTGTTCGGACAGCAGGCACCTGACCACTTCCCTGCCTGTGTGTACAAACCCGTCTGGTAAACTGGAGTGTGCTGCATCCACATCAGGTTACAGTCACTCCTGCTGTCATGTCCAGCACTAGTTTGGGAATCAGGAGGCCTGTTTTCTAGACCCTTCTAGCAGGTGCCTTACCGCCTCAGGGCCTCCTTACCTTTTCAGTGAAATGCAGGGTTGGTGGAGCCACCCTCAGGGCTGTTCCCCACTCTGAGGTTCTGGGCTTCAATTTCTACCTCCACCCGCTCCTCCACCCCCAGTTTGGAATTCTCTCATGTCAGCTGTGTTCTGTGAGCACTTCACACGTGTGAGGCGTGGTGACAGGTGATGGGGTATAGCAATCAGGGCCCTGCCCTTGAGAGGCTTGTGGTCTAGTGGAAGTGACAGACATATAAAGAGGGGGTATAAATATGTCACAAGTTCAAGAGACCTGTACATGGGCTGGTTGCCACATTAAAGGCTTGAAATCCTCCTGAAAGCATGGGATGTCTTTCACGCCTTGTTCATTACCCCTCAAGGCACAGAGTGAGCATTTGGTGAATACCTGCTGACTTGAATTGAACCAAATGCCTAACAGCCGTAATCACGAGATTAGTAGATGACTGTGAGGTCAGTGCCCAAGCCTGGCTTGAGTCCCAAACCCTTGTCTGTCCTGGGATTGGCTGAGCTGATCTTTTTACACAGCGACAGGCTGTTCATGGACATGCCTACATAGTGCAAGCAGCGTTCTGGGCACTCACTGTGCATATGCTCATTGCAACCCTGTGGGATTACTGGCCCATTTTGGATGCAAGGAGATTGAAGCACAGAGATATTAAACAACTTATCTGAGGTCATGCAGTTTTTAAGTGGTAAAGCTGAGATCTGAACCTATGCAGTCTGACTCTGGAATCTGTTGCCCAAAACTATGGTATATTGCCTGGAGGGCCACTTGCTGGTATCTGTCAAACTAAAAATCCATTTGCCCTTTGATCCAACAACACCATGCAAGTATTTTGTCTTTAGTGAATTCTGCAGTTATGAAAGTAGATGGTTAACGTTATTAATTACAGCATGATTTATAATATTAAACCAAGTTTCTGTTTATAGTGGGTTAGTTAGATAAATCAGTACAACTGGGTGGATTTATTGGGTTTTTTTTTTTTAATTGGAGTCTCACTCTGTCACCCAAGCTGGAGTGCAGTGGCATGCCTCACAGCCACAGCAGCCTCAACCTGCTGGGCTCAGGCAGTCCTTCCGCTTCAGCCTTCCAAGTAGCCAGAAAACAGGTATGCATTACTATGCTTGGCTAATATTTTGATTTATTGTAGAGATGAGGTCTCACCAAGTTGTCCAGGCTGTTCCCAAACCCATGGACTCAGGCAGTCCACTCACCTCAGCTTCCCAAAGTGTTGGGATTACAGGCTGGAGCCTCCATGTCCAGCCTGGATTTATTGTTAAACATGAAAAGCAAGAAGCAGGATGGAGTGGATAGTGAAGATTACCATTTGTGTACATGGGGGAGGGTAACAGAATGTATACTTTTGTATTTGTATAAGGAAACACTGGAAAGACACACAAGGAACCAACAAAGGTGGTTGTTTCTGGGACCAGGGGAAGCAGAGCATTGGGTGGAAATGGGGTGGGGTAGAACTGAGGCTTTTCAACGTATACCTGTGACCATTGATAGCTTTTAGATCTTTGGACCATGTGAATATCACCTATTTAAAAAATTTACTGTTAGCATGATCCCTGGACTGGATGCCTGGGTTCAGTACCAGATCTTCAACCTGCCAATAGTGGAAACTTTGGAAAGTTATTGAATCTTTCTCTGCTTACTGATCTGTACAATGGAGATAATAGCAGCTATAAACTCCTAAATGTATGAGAATTGAACAAAAAACAAGGAGGCAAAGTGGCGAATGTGAGAGGACGCTAGCTGTTGCTGTGAAATTGGGATGATCCACGTTAGTGTTCGGGGTTGGAAGGAGGGAGAGTGTCCTAAAGAGCACTTCTCTGGGATGTCTCCCCGGCCTTAGAACCGAGAGATGGGCCTAGAGGAAGCAGGATGTGTATGTGTGTTGTGAGGGATGATTTATGGCAATGACAGCAGGGATTCCTCCCGTCTCTGGAGCCCACCCTTGTGCAATGTGACTTTATGACTTCTCCCAACTAGAGTCTTCCTTCACTTCGTGAATGCAGGCTTGGCCCTGTGACTGGCTTTGACTAAAAGCATGTGGTGGAATAACATGGTGTAACTTCCAAGGCTAGGCCTTAAGAGGCCTTGAAACTTCCACTTGTGCCCTTTTAGAAAGCAGTTCTTCCATGTGAGAAAGCTCAGCTGTGCCCTGGGGACACTGGGACCCCACGGAGAGAGAGGCCCAGCTGATGGCCAGCACCAACAAACAGATGTGCGCAAGGCCTTTTGGGACCCTCCATCTTCAGAGAAACTGCCAGATGACTGTGGCTATGTGAGTGAACCCAGGAAGCTGGGTTGCCAGAAGATTTAGTAAATAAAAATATAGGATGCCCACTTAAGCTTGAATTTCAGGTGAAAAGCAAAGACTTTTTAAAGCATAAGTATATTCCAGAAAATGTGGCACATATACACGATGGAATACTATGCAGCCATAAAGAACAGAATCATGTACTTCTCAGCAAACTGGATGGAGTTGGAGACAGTCATTCTTAGTGATATATCACAAAAACAAAGAACTGAACACCACATGTTCTCATAAGTGGGACCTGAACATTAATCACAATAGCACAAGGGAGGGATCGGCAGTCGTGGGACACCATGGGGGGTGGGAGGAGGCACGTAACAATACAAAGGGCACCTGATCCTAAACCAGGGGACGTGAGGACCAGTTGGAGGCCCAAAATTCACCTACACATGCATTATTTATATACCTAATCCTGACTTGTACCGCACATCTTGATAATAAAGTAAAAAAAAAAAAGTATATTCCATGCAATATTCAGGGCATACTTGTACTTAGAATCAGCCTTTGTTTATCTGAAATTTATCATTATTTTGGTGTCAAGGTCTGTCTCTTTGGCCCAGGCTGGAGATCATGGCTCATCGCAGCCTCGCCCTTCTGGGCTCAGGCCATCCTTCTGCCTCAGACTTCCTAGTAGCTGGGACTATAGGTGTGTGCCACTATACCCAGCTAGTTTTTACACTTTTTGTAGAGATGAGGTCTCATTAAGTTTTGGTATGGTTTGTAGGCCGCAAGAGATAACCAATACATGCGCACACGGGAGGTTGCGGTGGGGCCTGATCTGCACTCTCACCTTGCTGGGCCTCCCCACCGAATTCTATCCTCTGGAACTGTGTTTATATTTATAGTCTAGGCAAGACCTCACCAAGTCTTCCTTTGTCTCTGACTCCCCCGAATTCCCAGCTCTGCCCAACTCCACCCTATATACCCTTTCCAATTCCCAGAGCACTTACTTGAGATGAGGATGGGGTGGTGCTGGCTTCTTGGGCTCTTCGCCCTGTTGGGAGGTGCTGCGGCCCTGCACGGGGGGCCGGGGCTGTGAGGCGGGGGTGGCGCCTGGCTTGGAGGCTTGGTTTGGGGAGCTGCCGCTGGATGCCCGGGCTAGCTGCGGAGAGCCTGGCGACCTTTGCTGCGGAGATCCGGACTGGGGGCTCAGGGGTTGCTGGCCTTGCGGGGAGAGCCTCTGTTGGGAGGGGCTTCCAGACCTCGGGGGCTGAGGAGACTGAGCTTGGCGAGGGCCCCCTACAGGGCCAGAGAAAAGGGTTCAATTTCTTTCTTAGGATCGATGTGGCTGCACACAAATAATGTTGCTTCAAGGATGTTCATTATAGCGTTTTTTAATAACAGCGAAAAACAGAACAATATAAATGCCTAACCATAGGGAGGCAATTAGAAACATTAGATACATCCATATAATGGAAGGAGCTGTGGTCATCACATATCATGTGGCTAGACCATATAACATGACAGGATATTGTTGATGATATATGCTAAAGATATACTGCTAAACAAAAGAGCAGTCTAGGAAACAGTACAGACAGTTTTATTCCATTTTTGAACATACATAAAAAAAGACCGGAAGATTGTGCAGTACCTAAAACCACTGTGTCTCCGACTTTACCATGCATAGGAATCCCTGGGGGAGCTCCTCAAAACAAAGATTCTGGGCTGGGTGTGGTGACTCAAGCCTGCAATCCCAGCATTTTGGGAAGCGGAGGCAGGAGGACTGTTCGAGCCCAGGAGTTCGAGACCCGCTTAGGCAACATAGTGAGACCTCGTCTCTGAAAAAACCAAAAAAATTAGCCCGGTGTGGTGGCACATGCCTGTCTCAGCTGCTTGGGAGGCTGAGGCAGAAGGATCACCTGAGCCTAGGAGGTTAAGGCTACGGCGAGTCATGAGTGTGCCACTGCTCTCCAGCCTGAGTGACAGAATGAGACCCTGATTAAAAACAAAACGAAACGCACACGCACACCAAAAGATGCTGATATGGTAGGTCTGGGTGGTGTTATGAATTGAATTGTGCTCCCCAATCCCCAGATGAATATGTTGAAGACCAACCCTCCATGCAACTGCATTGAGGTAAGTTCTTTAAGGAGGAGTCACAGTTAAGTGAGGCCACATAAGACAGATCCCTAGCATCCTGATAAGCAGAGGAAGAGACAGCAAGAGTATGTGTGCACCCAGGCACAGGGAAAGGCCAGAGGTGAACACAGCAAGAGGGCTGTCATCTGCAGGCCAAGAAGAGATACCATACCAGAAACCAGCCCTGCCAGCACCCTGATCCTGTGCGTCCAGCCTCCAGAACTGGGAAAAACTAAATGTCCGTTGTTGAGGCTGACCAGCCTATGGCGGTTTGTTATTCAGGGAACTGGGCTGACAGATGTAGGCCAGCTCTATGCTGCTCCATTTCTAACCCGTTCCCGGCCTTCCATACTTTGAGTCGTGAGGCACTAACCAACAACGACCAAAGCAGTGGGCTCGGGAGGATTTTTATTCTCTTATTTCTGCTCACTGAAATTGTCCACACTGAAGATGTATTTCTTTGGAACCCGTGAGAAGTATTCGCCCTGACTTTCTGGGTCGCGATCTCAACTTTTCTGAGAGCATTCAAGAACAGTGTATCGTGTGATCTACAGAGGTTGACCAGGCGGATCCCGTACTCACATGTCGAGATGGACACAGAGCCTTAGTGAGGCTTCTTAACTGGAAGGGGAGCTGCAGAAAGCCACAGAGGGTCTTGGCACGTCCCCGTCACTGCACCAAACACACAGGCTTCCACCCGCAAGCAGAGGGACATGGGGAGGTCTCAACCCACAGCAGCAACGTGGAGTGGAATTCCAAGGCTCCCGCGAGAAGGGGACTCTCCTCACCCCAGAGGCTGAGTGGCAGGAGGGCTGATGGTGAGCTGCATTCTGCCAATGCAGACGGGCTGCCTGCTGGTCTCTCCCAGGACACACCTGCTCCGGGGAGCATGAGGGAGGCCCTGGGCTCATTACTGCACATCTTTTGTGAGCACTTTAGAAGGATGAGGCGGCCAAGAGCTAAGAGGTGCTGGGACCTATCTCTGTGGCTCGCTAACAACAGGGATTCTGTTACATCCCAGCCTTAGACTCGGCATCCTCACAACTCTGAGGGTTAGACATTCTTTCCATCCCCATTTGTAAAGCAAAACTGAGTCCCAGATATGCTCTGACTTGTTCAAGGTGTCACTACTAATCAGAGAAGAGCCAAGATTCAAACCTAGATCTCTTTGACTCAAAAGCCCCTTTTTGTTTTATTTTTTTAAAACGACACCACGAAGGGCTGCCCTGAGCCTTCATACATCTTTGTGCTAATTAAGAAAAGGTGAACCAGGTGTGGTGGTGCACCTATAATCTCAGCTACTTGGGAGGCTGAGGCAGGAGGATCACCTGAGCTCAGGCATTCGAGGCTGCAGTGAGTGATGATCGCACCATTGCACTCCAGCCTGGGTCACAGAGCAAGGACTCGTCTCTAATAAAAAGAAAAAGAAAAAGAAAAAGAAAAGGCGCTTCCTCCCGTGGCAGCAGCTCTGAGCCAGGGGCAAGGGGGAGCAGGACTAGGTTCCAGCCAGCCTCCTCCCTCAGACTTTGTGGCAGCTGGGCACACATTTTCCAAGGGCGTGCATGTCTGATGGCCCCGATCCACACTGGCACCAGGAGCCTCGGGTCCTGTCTCAAGCCTTGCCCTTAACTCACTGTGGGACCATGGGTAAGTCACTCCTCCTCTCTGGGTTTCCAATGAGACCGCTGGACTGTACATCAGGCATTCCTCCCAATTTGAACATTTATGTGAGGCTGCAGGACACTTCTGAGTTGGGTGAAGTTGCAGCATCAGTTTAGCAACCGTTTGCACATGGCTTTCATTCATTAACTCTTTCACGACTGTACATCCCAGGACATCAGAAGTCACCTTGATCTCAATCATCTATAGGGCCAGGGAGGTACTTAAATAAATAAAGCAGGCGAGTGTAAGAAAAACAATGTGGCTTTAAACAATGTTCCCACCTGAGATAAAAACGTAGTTCAGGCCAGGCTCGGTGGCTCAGCCTGTAATCCCAGTACTTTGGGAGGCCGAGGCAAGTGAATTTGCTTGAGCCCACGGGTTCGAGACCAGTCTGGGCAATTTGGCAAGACTTCATCTCTACAATTAAAAAAAAAAAAATCAGCTGGGTGTGGAAGCACACCTGTAGTTCTCGCTACTTGGAAGGCTGATGTAGAAGGATTGATGGAGCCCAGCAGTTCGAAGCTGGGGTGGCCGTGAGTGTGCCACTGCACTCCAGCCTGGGCAATGGAGTGAGAACCCAACTCAAAAAAAAAAAAAAAAAAAAAAATCCAGAGAATGGTTTCACTGCAGAGGTACACACATAAAGAAAATAGCAGTTAACACTCCCTGTCACTGTGGAAGTGGCAGTAGGAAGGAGTAGGGTCTGAGACAAATGGCAGAGTCCTGGCCCTTCTGTGGGAGCAGCTATTATGAATGCCTGTGGACAGGGCTATGCAGGAACACAGGCCAACTATTTCCAGAGCGTCTCCGATGTCAAGCAAAGCTGGAAATCTAGTTGTTTAAATAAAACCTCCTGGGGTTTTTTTTTTGATCCATCCACCTCAGCTTTCCAAGTAGCTGGGACTACAGGTGTGCGCCGCCACACCTGGCTAATTTTCTGATTTATTATAGAGATGAGGTCTCACCAAGTTGCCCAGGTGGGTCTCGAACCCCTGGACTTAGCCAATCCTCTCGCCTTGGCCTCCCAAAGTGCTGGGATTACAGGCTTGAGCCACCGCATCTGGCAACCTCCTAGTTTTTAAATGGTGACTTTGGTGTTGTCTAAACCTACTGCAGGTCAAAGAAAACATGTATTTTCTATTTTTATCATTTTGTTGTTGTTGTTAGAGACAGAGTCTCACTCTCACCCAGGCGGGAGTGCAGCAGTGTCATCATGGCTGACTGTAGCCTCGAACTCCTGGGTGCAAACAATCCTCCCACATCAGCCTCCCAGGTAGCTGGGACTACAGGCGGGTGCCACCATGCCTGCCTAATTTATTTTTATTTTTGTAGAGACAGTGGGTGGGTGGGGGGCAGGTCTCGCTGTATTACTCAAGCTGGTCTTGAACTCCTGGCCTCAAGCGATCCTTTGGCTTTAGCCTCCCAAAGTGCTGAGATTACAGGTGTAAGCCACAATGACTGGCCTCTACTTTTATCTGAAGGACCCCTCCATTCTCCCTCCCCCCACCCCAAGTTGACAATATCTTCCTAATATCTCAATACACATGCATTCATTCATTAACTATTTGTTGAGTCCCTGTAACACACCTGGGATTTATCAAGAGACACCCTGGTTATTTCTTCTAGCTTCTTGGCTCAACAAACACTTTAGTATTTTTTTATTTGGGCATGTACAAAAATATTAACTTATATATAGAAATTACTTGCCTAACATAGGATTGATGCTAAAAAATGGAGTTTATTAAAAGAAAATTTCACTTTTACTGAGTTGAAATGAACAGGGAGTTCAAAACAGGTTAATAATGTGATCTTGTTATTTAGGGAACTCAATGAAAGTGTTGTTTTTAAATTAACCTTGTTATTTTTTAATCTGAATGTTAATTCACAGGGCATTTTCTTTAATTACCTTAATTGGTTTTAAATTGATTGTTTTTCAACTCACTAAAACTGTGTTTAGCTTCATGTCCCTTAAAATAATACCTCTTTATCAAGCATGTTTCTGCTCTTGGCCAGAGAGGAAATCAGAATACAGTAGCTCTCTGTTTTAAAAGGGCTCTGTTCAAATGTGTTTTTAAAAAGTAAGTCTGAGGCAGTGTGGGGAGGGGGAGGGGGTGGGCAGAGGCCGCCAGGAGCCTGGGAGGGAGAGGACTAAGTTGCTTTTGGACATTTATAACCATGAAATGACTGCCAGGCAGGAGGACGGTGGGGTTATAAGGATGGCTCATGATAATCATTAAAAGCAACATGTATAATTATGACTCAAGTTATCAATAGTAAGTTACTAGTGCTAAGAACTGGCATCTTCTAAGTACTTCTAAGCGTCAGACACTTCACCCCTGGCTTCTCCTTCTTGAGCTCATGGAAAGCTCATTCTTCCACGTGGCGGCTGTCACTTCCTCCTTTACCCTGAGGAAACTGAGGCTCGGAGAAGGAATGTGACTTGCCTGAGACTGCAGAGGCAGTGAGACATGGAACTAGGTTCAAACACGCATCTATCTGCTGAAGAAGAATGCTGGTGTGCGTTTGTGCAGGCAGAGCTGGTTTTACTGGGCTTTGCTTTACTGCGATGAGCAGATATATTTTATTTTCACACACTGAAGGTTTGTGACAGCCCTGAGTTGAGCAAGTCTCTTGGTGCCATTTTTGGAACGGCCTGTGCTTACTCGGTTTCTCCCCATCACATTTTGGTAATTCTCAGAATATTTCAAGCTTTTTCATTATTATTCTGTATGCGCTGGTGATCTGTGATGTTACTATGGTAATTTTGGGGTGCTGAGAACTGTATGAGACGAAACTGAATCGAGAAATGTGTGTGTTCTGACCGCTCCGCCTGCCAGGTGTCCTCCCCCATCTCTCTCTTTCTCATCAGGCCTCCCTGTTCCCTGAGACACAGCAGTATTAAAATTAGGCCGGTTAATCACCCTACAGTGGCCTCTAAGTGTTCCCGTGAAAGGAAGAAAGAGTCGCCCATCTCTCACTTTCATTCCAAGCTCGAAGTGATTAAGCTTAGTAAGGAAGGCACGTCAAAAGTGGATAGGCCAAAAGCCAGGCCTCTTGTGCCAAACAGCCAACGTTGTGAATGTAAAGGAAGAGTTATTGAAGGAAATTGCAAGTGCTACTCCAGTGAACATATGAATGATTAGAAAGCAAAACAGTCTTGCTGCTGATTTGGAGAAAGTTTGAATGGTCTGGATAGAAGATCAAACCAGTCGCAACATTCCCTCAAACCAAAACCTAATTCGGAGCAAGGTCCTTTATTCTCTTCAATTCTGTGAAGGCTGAGAGAGGTGAGGAAACTGCAGAAGAAAAGTCGGAGGCTAGCAGAGGTTGGTTCATGAGGTTTAAGCCAAGAAGCCGTCTCCATAACATAAACGTGCAAGGTGAAGTAGCAAGTGCTGATGGAGAAGCTGCAGAAATTATCCAGATGATCTATTAAAGATCACTGTTGGAGGCTGCACTAAACAACAGATTTTCCATGTGGATGAAACAGCCTTCTATTGGAAGGAGATGTCATCTAGGACTTCCGTAGCTAGAGAGAAATCAAGGCCTGGTTTCACAGCTTCAAAGGACAGGCTGACTCTCTTGTTAGGGACTTTAAACCGGTGATTTTAAGTTGAAATCAATGCTCATTGGCCATTTAGAAAATTCTAGGACCTTTAGGAATTATGCTATATCTACTCTGCCTGTGCTCTATAAATAGAACAACAAAGCCTAGTTGACAGCACATCTATTTACAGCATGGCTTACTAAATATTTTAAACCCACTGTTGAGACCTTCTGCTCAGAAACAATTATTCTTTTCAAGATATCACTGCTCATTGACAATGTACCCAGTCACCCAAGAGTTCTGCTGAAGATGTTTTTATGCTTGCTAACACAACATCCATTCTGCAGTTCATGAATCAATTTTGACTTTGAAATCTTAATACTTAAGGACTACATCTTATAAGGCTAAAGCTGCCCTAGACAGTGATTCTTCTGATGGATCTGGGCAAAGGAAATCGAAAACCTTCTGGAAAGGATTCATCCTTCTTGATGCCATCAAGAATATTTGAGATTCAGGGAACAAGGTAGAGCTATCGATGCTATCAGCAATGTGGAAGAAACTGATTGCAGCCCTCATGGATGACTTTGAGGAGCTCAAGACATTGATGGAGGAGGTGCAGATGTGATGGAAACAGCAAGACAATGAGAAGAGGAGCCTGGAGATGAGACCGAACCGATCAATCTCATGGCCAAACTCACATGCTACAGGCAGATCTTTCATGAAAGGACAGGTCAACTGATTTGGCAAATTTCACTGTTCTCTTATTTTTTCTTTTTCCTTTTTTTTTTGAGTAGGAATCTCATTCTGTTGCCCAGACTGGAGTGCAGTGGCCGCTCCCGGCCACTGCAACCTCGACCTGCTGGGCTCTGGCGATCCTTCTGCCTCAGTCTTCCAAGTAGCTGGGACTACAGGCGCGTGCTACCACGCTCAGCTAATTTTTTATTTGTTGTGGAGATGAGGTCTCATCAAGTTGCCCGGGCAGGTCTCGAACCTGCAGGCTCAGGCAATCCCCTCACCTCAGCCTCCCAAGGAACTGTTGTCTTAAGAAATTGCCGCAGCTACCCTGTCTTCCGCAGCCACGACCCTGATCAGTCAGCAGCCATCAGTGAGGCAAGACCCTCCAGCAGGAAAAAGATCACAATTCACTGAAGGCTCAGATGACTGTTAGCATTTTTAGCAATAAAATATTTTATAATTAAATATAAATGATGTATTTTTTAGACATAAGGCTGTTGCACACTTAAGAGACTACAGCAGAGTGTAAACACAGCTTTTATGTTTACATAAAATTTTACATAATTTTTGTAAAAAAATATTTGCCTGCCTTACTTTATTGTGATACATGCTTTATTGGCATGCTGTGGCAGAGACCCTGAAATATCTCTGAGGTGTGCCTGAACATAGTTGTGGACAATGGTGACATTTCCCTTTTATTTATTTATTTATTTATTTATTTATTTCCTTCATTCTTTTTCTTTTCTTTTTTTTTTTTTGAGTTGGCGGTTCAAGTACAGTGGCACAATCATGGTTCACCGCAGCCTCAACCTCCTGGGCTCAGAGATGACCCTTCTGCCTCAGCCTCCTGAGAAGTTAGGACTACAGGTGCACGCCACCACACCTAGCTAATTTTTTATTTTTATTTTTTTGTAGAGACAGGGTCTCATTATGTTGCCTAGGCTAGTCTCAAACTCCTGGACTCAAGCGATCATCCTGCCTTGGCCTCCCAAAGTGCTGGGATTACAGGCATGAGCCACTGTGCTTGGCTGATTTCCTTTTTCTTAAATACTTTCTGCTTTTCCAGGAAGAGAAACATAGACAAGAAAGATGGTTGAAGCATTTTACCTAAGACCTGTGGAAGAGGAAGCCATTCCGTTCTCAGTGCTAACTTTTCCCAAGAAGCATCAAATCTGTTACTTTAATAACAGACTGGGAGGGTCCAACATGCTAGCAATGCCTTCTTCCTGACAGGTGTTTAAGCAGAGCCTTAAAAGCCTCTCCTGATGCCAGCTGCTCTGACACTCACGGCTGGGGACAGCAAGTGCCGGAGAGTGTGTCAGAAGGTCTGCTCACACCAGAAATGGAGGGCGACTTCTCCCAGGCCCGAGCAGCTGGCATTCCTGGAGAAGGTCACTTAGCGGTGGCCATGATTTCTTCTTGTCATCGGTAGTCTATCCGTTCCCTAATAAATGGTGGCATTTACATAGTAATGCTGGGTATTTTTGAGGAAGAATTTCAGGGGACAAGGTTATGGACAGTGTTCTGTTTTTTTTCTTTTTCTTTCTCACTCTAGCTGGTTGACTCACAAATCTATAACCAGACACCTCTCGTTGCTAGGAATAATCGCTTTCTGGAAGTTCTGAAAGGCCACACTTATAAGCCTGCTGTTCTTGTGTCCCCTTGGGCAAAGTTTCAACTTCCACCTCCATAAAAAGGAAACACTGATGTTTTTACTGAAGAGCCTCTGAGGGTAAACCTGAGAAAATGGATGGGACAGTTCCCAGCACCGTGCTTGGCACATGTCGGGGGGACTTAATACTTTGCTTTCTATTTCTCTTCCTCCTTTCCTGACGTTTAAAAGGAGCTGACGGACCGCATAGTCTCATTCTTTCTACCTATGAGTAAGCGAGCACTTTCTGTGGATAGAGCATTAAGATGGATTTTCCCCAGAGTGCTTCCTGGGAGTCACATGTGAACTCCTCAGTGCATTTCAACATCCTCACTGACACGGACGGGTTCTCTCGGTCCTTGTCTTGGTTCCTACCTTGTGGAGGTAGACGAGGCTGGGGCTGTCCTAGCTGAGACCCCAGCTGGGCTTGCCCTGGAGATTTTGCCGACTTAGTCTGTGGTGCCTAGGGCAGAAGAGAGAAGAAGCCTGTTGATATCTTGTGACCATTCACTTCCTGGGCAGGAGGACTTGGAAAGATCTTTTGATTACTGAGATGAGACTGACACAAAGCATACGGTTCTGGAGTGTCGGGTGTCATGAAGTTCTGCGTGGGCACAATCAGTGTAACCACCGCCCAGATCAAGGCGCAAAACATTCCGGAAGAGGCAGCACTATGTCCCTCCCAGCAAGCGACCCCCTCACTTATAACCAGGATTCCAGCATCTATCATCATGGATCAGTTTTTGTGGGGAAGGAGGTGGGGGCGGGGAGCAGGTTTTGAGACCTGCATTTCGAGAAAGCTGGAGAGCCGGCACATTCTTTGAAGAATGGTCTGGCAGGCTAGGGTGGGGACCGTAGAGGAGGTGAGGGCCGTGGGAACTTGCTGAGGTTGGGGGAGGGGAGCAAGAGACACAACAGTCTCTATTGACTGGGGCCTGGGAGCTCCAGAGGTCATGTGTGTACATGAACCCTTGTACGTATGTGCACACACACACATCCTGCTCAGGCTCAGGGTGCTGGGCATGGAAGGGACACCTGTCAATCATCTCTGCCCATGGATGCCAAAGGCTGGCCGAGGCAAGATTGCTCTCCCCAGGATGTCTGTGGGAGAAGGGGCCCCTGGAAGCCTCCGACGTTTGCCCATCAGGGCAGGTCCCAGAAGTTCTCCCTGTGTCCAGCCTCTGCCCACACCCCATTTCTTTCTTCCCATGGTGGTCCCTTCTTGGGGGCATGTCCTTTGGATCGAGGGGCCCCCATTCCCAGGCTGCCTGGCATTTCTTGTGGCTACACGCCTCCTCTGCTCCTGGGATCTTACCCAAGGTCTCAGGGGCGAGGGCACTGTGCCTCCTGGCACCAGGAGTTGGCTCATTTTGGAGACAACAAGGTCAGCCATCAGCTGCTTGTCCTCCTCCACGTGCTCTCCAATCAGGGGCATCGAGCTGTCCATTACCTGTGGGGGAGAGGAGGCTGAGGGACCGGAGAGCCTGGCAGCACATCCCACAAGTGACCACCAGATGGCGACGTCCTCCATGCAAACCAGCTGCGACTGGGCACCCGGGAGACAGTGCCCTTGGGTCCAGGGGACACCAGCTCCCTGGATGTGGTCCAGTTCGGCCCACATCTGCGGGACGACAGCGGTGAAACGAGGCCTGGGGAGACTTTGCTGACCTTTCTGCACTTCTCTTTGGGGAGCCGCTCTCCGCCCCCTCCTTTCCCACTCCGGCCCCCTTCCAGAGTTGGGCTGGCCTCCTCTCCTTTGGCCCACGGTCAAGGCTTTCCACAACGCCGGAAACTGTGAAGGTGGGGGCTCGATCATGACCAAAAAATGACACTGGCTGGAGCTGACCTAGGGTTCCGAGGAGAGGGACGAGGAAGGGCCTCTTCTCCGAGGCCCTGGCAGGATAGATGCCAGGAGCGACACTCATTCCACAGGGGCTGGGCTGTTCTCAAAGGGGAGAGGGGGCCTGAGGGGTCACATCTGTCCCTTCTGCTCTTTTTACAGATGGAGCAGCTGAGGCCCAGAGTTGGGAAGGGCTTTCCCAAGGTCACACAGGCCAACCTTCTACGTGGTTCCCTGGGCATGGACAGCTATGGAAGGTCTTAGAGGGGTGTCTGTCAGACCCTGGCAGATCTGGAAAATGGCTGTTTTGGGACTCAGCCATCTGCACTCACCTACCCAGCCAACTCCCTGTCTTGTCTCCTCCTTTCCCAGACTCTGGACTTGCCTGGCTGTCTCCTCACGCGAGGCCAGATGCATGGGGTTCCCTCTGCCTACTCTCTACCTGGTTAGCCCCTTCCCATCCAGCAGGGAACACCCAGAGCTCTTCCTCCAGAAAGCTCTCTCTGACTGCACATGCTCTGACAAGCCACCTCACCTCTGTACTCCTGTTGTCCTCACCTTGGGTGTCCCGCTGCATAGCCTACCCCACAGCACTGTCATCTCCTGTCTATTTTGTCTCCACAACCAGGCTGGGAGCCCTCAAGGCCAGGGATGGGCCCTGTGCCCTGTTAAATGGGTGTGTTCTCAATAAATACCTTTTGAGTGGAGGAATGACAGGCCCTTGCTCTTAATGATAAGGGCACTGACAGGAGCTGTGCTTCATTGAGCACTTACTATGTGCTGGGACCTGTTCTAGGCACTGGGCGTGGGTGATGTCACATACATCTCGGAATAGCTCTGGAGGCAGGATCAATTATTATCCTTATCATATTACGAGGAGACTGAGGGTCAACAGAGTGGCGAGTTCAAGGACATATTGCTAGCAATCTACGGTCCTTCTGTTTCATCAAGCGGATTCTCCCTAAACCCCAGGACTGGGAAGGACTGGGAAGAACTGAGTTCCAGACCTTGGTTCTGCTGTGGGCTTGCTGTGTGAACTTGGCCAAGTCCTTTTTCCTCTACGGACCTACGTTTTTTGTTTTTTTTTTTCCTCAACTGTGAACTGAGGTAATTTGGCGGCTGCTAAGACCCTTCCACTGGGGCTTTCAGTGGAGCACCCACTGTGGCTGGGAGGCTGAAAAGCAAACCCACTGTGGCTGGGAGGCTGAAAAGCAAACCCACTGTGACTGGGAGGCTGAAAAGCAAACTCAAGGGTGTGAATACTGCTTCCAGCAGGGTCCTGAGGACTCTCCCAGGTTCAGCTCCTCCTGGGCTGTGCCCGGGCCTGAGGCATCTGGGATCCCAGTGCCCAGCACACAGTCAGTCTCTCAGTCAACACAGCTGAGCTGGGACCGTGGCGTCCGCCCCGAACGCACACAGGCTTCCTGCACCCTGTCTGTCCTCTCTCCCCCGTCCCTGCCCCCGTCCACCCCATTTTGTTCTGGTTTCTATTTCCTATGTTCCCTGCAGTGGAAAACAGCCACCACGAGGTCAGAGAATTCTGGAATCCCTACGGTAGACCCAGCCAAAGGAAGTGGACACTCTGGTCTCCCTGGGGAAACATTTTTTCCAGTGAGCGATGTCATTCCCTGGACAGGTCAGAGAGGACAAGGTCAAGGGTCTTTTCCCTGAGTATTTCACGGTGAGGATCCTTACAAAACATTTCACGCAAGTTTTCTGTTCTCACCACAGAGGTGGCTGAAGAAACTAGTAATTTTGGATCTCTTCCGCCTTTTTTCCCCTTATTGGGGGATAATATCTTTCATATTCCTGGTAACAAGCTCCCCATAGCCCCTGACCTCACCCCAAACCTAGAAGCAAGGGAAACAACTCTGTGAAGGTAGGGGCTTGATCATGACAAAAAATGTGACATGGGCTGGAGTTGACCCAGGGTTCAACGGGAAGAGGAAAAAAAAAAATCTGAGAAAACATCCTTTTTTATTTTTTGGAACATTTTGGGACATTGTTTTCTTTCTTTCTTTCTTTCTTTCCTTTTTTTTTTTTAGCCCAAGCCCACTCACTGCTTTTGCTTTTTTTTTTTTTTTAATGTGAAAGGTCTTTCATCCCTGACCCTCTGAACGTCTGGAGGCAGGAAGCCGGGACCACGGGCACAGATATTTTTTCTTCCCAAGAGTGACAGTGAAAGTTGAACCCCAGAGAGGCCTGAGCTCATAGGGCAGAGATGGGGTTAGAAAGAGAAGGGGGGGCTAGCTTGCTGGGTGGATGGGGGTCCAGGAGTCCTTCATCTGTTGGGAATGCCAGGAGGCAGGGCCCCACCACCCCTCGCTGTGTGCTGTGTTCCCTGGCTTGGGGTCTGTGCCCGGAGCGACTCATTGGATGAAAGAATGAGTGAGTGCCTATGGGCCAGTTCTGGGCCTGGGTCTGGGGGTCCCCATGAGTGACGTAGAGAGGCAGGGGGCCGGGAGGGGTCTCAGCAGCTTCAGTGCCCCCGCAGGAAGCCCCCTGCCCCAGCCTCATCTGAAGCTCCCGGGTAGCCTTAGAAGGCGGACACTGGCTCCTCTAGGGAGCACTCCTGCAGGTCAGCATGCCTGCCGCCCGTGGCTCCTCCCAGGGAGTTTCAGGAATCATCCAGGAATCCCTGGACTTGGGAGGAGAGCTATTTTCCAGAGGAGGACTGGAACGGCAGCTCTTCCCATGGGAGCTTCCCAGCCATTCTGGGGTGAGAAGAGGCTGTGTCCATCCTGGGCTCTCCTCCACCCACCCTCCCACCTCCAAGGCAGCCCCTCCTGGCATGGCTGGGCCCCCACCCATGGAGTCACCTGGTCCCACTCGGCTGTGGGTTCCTGGGGAGTGGGGCAGACACGAGGGATAGGAGGGCTGGCTGGCTCCCACGGTCACCCCGGCCACGTGCTTCCCCTGAGCCGCTCACACCCAGGAGGTGTCTTGGCTCACGTGGCTTGGCTCTGTGTCGGCACTCCCTTCTCCCGTGGTTTGAGAAATCCATGGAAGGAGGGAGCCGAAAGGGGTGCACATGAGGGGATGTGGGATTGGGGAGAGGCCGGAGGACCCTGAGGTCACAGGGGTGTCTTCAGGGGAAAACGGCAGAAAGCCCAGGTGTGGCAGCGGGGATCAGCGGGGAGGAGGGTGAGGAGAGGGTGGGACTGGGAGGGGCAAGGCTCCAGCCCCTCTGGGAGCCCTCTCTTTTTTAAAATTTATTTTTTTCTTTATTTTTCTTTATTTATTTTTGAGTTGGAGTCTCACTCCGTCGCCCAGACTGGAGTGCAGTGGCCACTCCCGGCCACCGCAGCCTCGACCTGCTGGGCTCCGGCGATCCTTCCGCCTCAGCTTTCCGAGTAGCCGGAACTACAGGCATGCGCTACCACGCCCGGCTGATTTTTTGATTTATTGTAGAGATGAGGTCTCACTGCCCAGGCGGGTCTCGAACCCACGGGCTCAGGCAATCCACTCACCTCAGCCTCCCAAAGGCACGGGGTTACAGGCTGAGCCACCGAGCCCGGCTCTTTCTTTATTTTAATAGCTCTAGGAGGTACACATAGTTTTTGGTGACACAGCTGCATTGCATTGCAGCAAAGCAATCTGGGCTTTACCTGTGTCCACCCCCCTCACCTGTGCACACTGCACCCAATAGGCAACTTTCTATTCCTCCACCCACAGCCCCTCTCACTACTGATTCTCCGGTGTCCGTGAGACCATGTTCTATGTCTTTGCAGACCCTTAGTTTAGCACTCACTTGCTGGTGAGGACATGCAGTGTTCGGTTTTCTGTTCCTGTGTTCGTTCACTTAGGATGACGTTGGGAGTCCTCTCTTACGTGATCTCCCTACCTCGTTCCCTCCACCCACACCCCTGCACAGCTGTGTCCCCTCAGAACCTTCAGCATCCTGCTTTTGTCTATCACCCTTCTTCCCTGAGAGCCTGCACGTAGTACCTATTGTGTTCACAGGTGTATCCCAGAGCCACACCCGTGCCTAGCCCACGGGAGCCCTGAATCCATGTTTGTTGAATGAAAAAATGATGGACTCTCTGCATGGGGAAGTGCGTCCACTTTACACACTTGGACAGCGAGGAAATGGGAGAGGTCCCATGGAGCAGAACCTTGCTGACCCTTGGCCCAATGTGCTTCTCCTACTCTTGGGCCTGCAGGCTGGGGAAAGTCGTTAATCTCATGCCCAGAGCTCTCCCACTCCATTCAGAGCCCAGGGTGGGACTGAGGAGAGATAGGAGGGCCGCCGTTGGGGAGAGGCCTCTGGCAGCTGTTCACCGAGGCCTGGATTGCATGTGTCCAGGAGCCAGGACACAGGGCTCTACTGGAGACCCAGGAACAGATCCCTTCCCTCCAGCACACCTGCGGGGCCAGACTAGGCCAGGAGGACTGATGCTTTGTCCTCACCTCAATGATGTAATCTCTGCCATCCTTGCTGTGGACGGCCTTGACAGCACAGATGTCCAGGCCGCCAAACATTTCCGAGCAGCTGTCCACCCACAGCCTGTACCTGCAGGGATGGACAGATGGACAGTGAGTGCGGGCGAAGAAAGTGGGGAAGGGGGCAGAGGGAGAGAGGCAGAGAGACACACAGAGAAACAGGCAGGGAGAGACAGAAACACACGCACCCAGACAGAGATGGAAAGAGACAGAGTAAGAGCCCGCGACCGATGCACAAGAGAGTTGGAAAGACAGAGTTCGAGTCTCAGGCAAAGAGTGAGGCAGACAGTGGGAGGAAGGGAGGCAGAGACACGGACAGACCACAGGCAGGGACAGTGAGAGGGACCCAGAGAAAGAAGGAGAGCTGGGAAGGAAGGGAGGGGGCAGGGCAAGGGAGAAGGCGTGAGAGCTGGGGAGACCTCTCCCCCACGCCTGGTGGGCTCCACTGCAGTGAGGGGGCTTGCACTGCCCCCTCCAGAGCCATCCTGACACCCAGCTGCCCCTGCGGCCCTTTTCCCTTGGGAAAGCAGCTCCAGGGGCTGCAGGAACCCCTCCCTGCCTGCCCTCCCCATCTCTGAGCCCGGGCCAGACGAGAGCCCGTGGGGGACAAAGGGTGCATTCTCCCCAGGCCTGGGGCGGGTGGGCCGGGGAGCCTGGCAGGCTGCACCCGCCAGGCCCAGGGGCCTGGCCCTCAGGACCCGTGGCTTTTGTTCCCTTTCCAACCACTTGATGACTGCAAGGCCAGTTTGCTTTGCAGGGGACAGATCTCTGCGCTGAACTTTGACCTTGCAACAAGAGGGTGGTTGTATCTGAAGAATCTTCCCAGCTTGCACTTGGCTTCCCTCATGGGCTGGATCTGGGAGTCACAGGGGACTCTGTGTCAATGTTCTTGCCTCTCACCCCACTTTCCAGGGTCACACAGGGCACTCCTGCACTCAGATCTCTTTGTGTCTGGGACTGGGGAGGGATCATGGCTGAAGTGCTCTTAGAACTAACTCCCATCTTATCCACCAAGGCTTACTGAGGCCCAGAGAGGGCGTGTGGCTTGTCCGGGTCACTTAGCAAGGCAGCAGAAGAGCCAGGATTACCTGATCTCCTGGCTCCAGCCAGGTTGTCTCTCGCAGCTGTGACAAGGAACATGGGAGCTCATAGAAGTAAAGGGAAGGATGAAAACTCACATGCTCCTGCTTCGTTCCAGGCATTACGAGCCTTATTCTCTCTAAGCCCACCACGACTCTATTAGGAAGGTTTCAACCCATTTTACCCATGAAGAAACTGAGACTCAGAGAGATTGATACACGACTGTGCAGCTTCCAAACCCAGTTCCTGCCCGATTCCTGATTTCAAGCAAGCTGCCCTTCCTCTATTTGATGTCCTAGCCTTTCTGTTCTCCTCAGCATGGGAGACCAGGGACCTAAATTCTTGCTATGAATTCCTCAATAATGTTAGGGGAGTCTCTTCTTTCTGCAGCCTCAGTTTCCTTATCTGTAAAATGGGAAGGCCTAGATCTGATTCTGAATGTCTATCAGAATCACCAAGAGGGTCAAACGAACACACAAACAGCCAAGTATGGGGGCTCCACTCTATGTTGGAATAATTTCTTTCTTTCTTTCTTTTTTTTAACACATCATGTGATTCTGATGTGCAGCCACATTTGGGGACAACCTGTGGTCCTTGGGGCTCTAAGAGACCTCTGGCCTCTCTGATCAGGGTCCTTGTTTTTGGCACCAAGGGCTGACCTTTGGGGTACCATATGCTTAGGGAGAGCTGTGCCCTGAGACATACTCAGAAATCAGGTTTCTTCCCAGCGGAAGGTGGAGGTCTGATTTTCAGAGGCGATTTTCAAATGATGACTGTGTGGGGTCATATGCTGGCTTCACCCCAGGGGGGACAGGAACCCCAGGATCAGGAAGGGGCTGCAAAGGGAGAGCAGTGTGGGGGCAACTGGAGGACATGGGTTCACCACTCCCCTCCAGCTGGGTGGGACCAGCACCCACCAAGCCATGTCATTGACTTTGCTCAGGGTCAGGCTGCCGGGCAGAGGTAAATCAGGTGAAGGAGGAGTCAGGGCCTGTTTATGGGTCCTCATGGGGATTGTGTCCCTGTGGGATGGGATTGGGGAGCTCTGTCCAGGCCCCGGAGTACTGCCCACCACCACGAAGGGGAAAGTGAATTCCAGGCCTGAGCAGACCTACTCCTATGGCAGGTTCCTGCAGGGATGGTCTATGTGGCCAGGGACTGAGCAAAGCCAGGGAGATGTGGCTTCCTGGGAACATCGTGAGCAGCTCATGCGCACCGAGGAGGGCGGGCTCATTTTCGGGAAAGGCCATGAAGAAGACCATGACTGTCCCATGCATGGGGGGAAGGGTGTGACAGCCATGGCCACAGGATCCAGTTGTGTAAGGTCACGAGCACAACCTCCGTAAGGCTGGTCAGCACTGGTGGGCTCCCGGTGGTGGTGGCTGCACCCTGGGGTTGACGGGAAGGGAGGATGCCCCTCCCTGCCTCGGCTGGTACTGGACCAGGCACTGCATGGCCCTCTCTTATTCCGTCCTCACAGCAGAACTCTGGCTTGGGTATTGCTGCCTTCACTTTGCAGTTGAAGTAGTTCAGAAAGGTTAATCGACATACCCAAGGTTATATTCCGTCTTTGTTGCTGTCTCCAGGGGTGGAGACCGACATATGTTTATCCAATCACAGCATCCTGGACCATAGTGATCGGTCCAGGGATGGTCATGTGACCCAAGACAGGCCAATCAGGAAATACGGCTCAATTCCAGGCTTTGATTGAAATTATTGGGGAAAAGTTTGCTTTCTTCCGGACCTGATTCTGAAGATGTAAGCCGGAGCCATGATGGCCACCCTAAGAGGAGAAGAGCCTGCTCAGACAAAGTCAACGTGGAAGGGAGCTGAACTGGAGCGGGTAGAGAGGGAGTCCTAAAGCCTTACCTGACCCTGCACCTCTGGAGTTTTCAGTGATCCCCGTTTGTGAACAAACCAATTTGATTTGTGTTGTGACACTTGCGATGGATGCAGAGTTCTTAGAGGGAAGGGTTGGATCTTTTCATCTGTCACTGCTCAGCACAACACGGCATGCAGTAGGTACTCAATACGTGTTTACTGAACAGAGATTTCTGACCCCAAAGTCTGTGCTCTGTCTACTAAGTTTTACGGGCTTGCAGGCAGAGGTCACTGGGCATGCAGGCAAGAAGGTGTGTGTGTGGCTGGCCCTGGGATCAGATGACTTGGCCCTGCTTCAAGGGAGGTGGCACACAAGCAGCGTCTACAGGAGAGAGACCTGAGGAAACTTCAGCTAGAGTGTGCCCCGAAACAGCCATGGTTCGTGGAAGTCAACCTCTCCCTATTCCTACTGAGATGGAGGTGAGCCTGAGAGAGAGGCTGACTCACCAGGAAACCCTGGCCCCTGATGAGGGTGCTCCCTTGCAGCTGGCAGAGGGCAGAAGGAACTAGGGAGGGCGTCCTGCCCTCTTCCTGAAGCAACTGGGCGGGGCCAGAAAGACCCCTGGACTTGGGTGTCGTGGCCTCAGGGTTCAACAGCTCTGTGATGCTGGACAGATCACCCCCCCTCTCTGAACTTTCTTTTTCCATCTGTGAAATGGGTTGTTTTAATACCTGCCCTATAGGCTGTTGGGGGCATTGCCTGGAAAGGTGCTCTGTGGGAGGTGAGGCACTGGACGGAGGGTGGTGGCATTCTTTCCAGGGCTCCTTGTTGCATTCTTCCCTCAGCTCCCACCATGGCCCATGACCCTCCCTACACCTCCTGTGTCTCTTACCTCTCTGTCATGGCCACCTGCTCCAGCATTGCAGAGCCCGTGTTGGCCTTCCAGTTTCCAGAGATGGAGGTTCTCCTGTGTCCGAACAAATAACACACTGAGGGCATTAGGGATCCCTGGCACTGATCTGCTTTTCTTTTTTGCCTTGGTTGTTAGGAGGCTCTAGTTCAAATATCTGGCTCACATTATGGCATGTGTTCTTAGGTATACACTTAGTTCTCCACTACTTTTCCTGTTTTTATTTCCCTGTCTGCTGGTTGCCTTATTTATTCATTGGATCTTGTGTACTGTTTGCTAAGACATCTTTGAAATTTAAAGATTAAATTAAAAAATGCCTACACCATCAGATTAAATTCCCCAAACCTTGGTCTCCTGTTTTTGAGGAGAACCAGGGCAATGTAGCCTCTAGTGGTTTGGGAATTTTCTGAGGGCCCCAAAATGTTGGACAGGTTATCCATAGAGAGAAGTGATTACTTTTCCATGATGAAGAGCAGGAAGGCTTCCTGGCCTCTGCCACTTCACTACCACTCACTTTCCTTGCCTTTTTGGTTCCAGCAAAAGCTGACTTCCCTCGCAGGGCTCCACTGCCCAAGGCTCTTTCCCTAACTCATGTGATCTGTAGGCATCCTTCCCCTTGCCCCATGCAGGCTCTGTTTCCATCTTTGCCTCCCTAAGTCCTACTCATCCTTCAGATTTCATTTGAAGTTTGACTTCCTGACAGCCCACCTTTCCCAACAAGAGTAGACTGCCCTGTGCCTGTGGACAGCTCTCTTCTCCTCCCAGAGGAAAGGCTGCTGTGACAGCCCCCATTTCCCAGCAAGAGCAGGCTGCCCTGCTCTGCTCCCTACACGAATGTTCTGCAATGCTCATCTCGCTGACAGTGACAGCACTGGTGTCCTCTCTTCCCTAATGGAGGGAAAGCCCTGAGGGTTGGGGTGTGTTCGACTTCATCGCTGATCACTCAGTGTCCAGTGGGACCTGGCATGGAGTAGGTGCCCAGTAGCTACCTCCAGGGTGAGCGACTGTGTACTTTGGGGGAGAATCCAGACAAACTCTCATCAGTGGCATATCTGGCCTCAGCAAAGACAGAATGAGTTTAAGCAACATGGTGGAGGTGCAGCTGTTTGTCTTATGGGCGAAAGTGGTGTGTGTTGAGATCAAAGGGTGAACTGAGGTGAGGAGTTGAAGCAAAAAATATAACCTTCTAAAAGAGAAAATCCAATTATACACGCTGAGAATAGATGGAGGCTGCCAGGAGTCACAACTCCTAAGGGGTGCAGCGCCCCTGATAAGCTCAATATCAGTTTGATTCAGCTCAACTCAATGCAATTTGGCAGACTCTCACAGGACACCCACACCCTGGGTACTGGACTAGCAGGAGCATGCAGAGATGACCCCCTCCTCAGGCTGTTCACTGCCTGGAAGGGTGGACTAGCCTAAAACCAGAGTAGAGCATGGTAGGGTTATCAGTATACATGGAGCCTGAAGAACTCTGGGACACCAAGGAGAAGCCAGAGTCACATAATGAGGTCCCAGAAGGTGGCTACTGAGATGTGCCTTGGAGGGTGAGCAGGATGTAGTGTAGTGGCAACAGAAGGTGAGAACTGACTTGAGTCAGACCGATGTGAGTTTGAATCTTGGTTCCGAGTCTTATTTCCTCATTGGTCCATGGGAAAAATAATAGCACCATCTTCACAGAGTATTGTGTGGGTTAAAGGAAATATTCCCATAAGTCTCTTAGAGTGGGTGCTACTATTATTTTCCATAAGTGGAGACAAGAAAAGGGTGTGCCGAGGGCAGGAGCAGCGGGAACTCGAGCCAGACTGCCTTCCTTCCACGAGTGTTGAAGGAGTGCTTTCTGTGTCTGAGACATGGGCCCAAGGGCTTTGTAAGTGGAGCTCTGTCAGCCTCAAAGGCCCTAATGAGATTATGGTCATTCTTACTTAATGCAGGAGTCACCAAACCTTATAAACTCCATGCTCTTAAGCATAACTCTCCATGGCAGAGCCCATCAAAGCCAGGCATGGGGAAAGGAGTTGGCTGACTCAAACATGATGTGGCTACTGGAATGTAGGATGGAGTGTAGACAGTAACAAAAAGATTTATCTATATTACAAGTCGTCTTAGTCCATTCAGGCTGCTGCAGCCACCATAGACTGTGTGGTTTATAAACAACAGTACAACAGTTCTGGAGGCTGGGAAGTCCAAGATCAAGCTGCTGGCAGTTTCTGGTTCCGGTGAAGGTCCTTTTCCTGTTTCATATATGGCACTTTCTTGTTGTGTCCTCATATGGTAGGAGGAGCTAGGAAGACCTCAGAGGCTTTTTAAAAATAAGGGCACTAATCCCATTCATGAGGGCTCTGCTCTCAAGAGCTAATCTTCTCCCAAAAGCCCCATTTCCCAATACCATCACCCTGAGGATTAGGACTTCAACGTGTGAATTTCTGGGGGACACAAAATTCACACCATAGTGCAAGCATAGAACATGGCCTCATTGGAGTGGTGGGGAGCTTCCTATGGGGCTACAGGGAAACTGTGCATACACACTGAGGTAGAACACATGAATAAATGGATGGCCTGTCATCCATCCTACCTGTCAGAGTGGGAGGTTATAGCTTAGCAATCAGGGAAGTCCAAAGTGAACCACGTGGTCCTGGATCACGGTTAGAGGCATCAATCTGACTGTTTAACTTCATATGGACATGGTGGACACATATAGAAATACTTATGGAGGCGTGCATCTACACAAGTATGGACACACACACATATTTCCTGACTGTGTCTGCTAGGACCTGGACAGAATGACACTCTGACAGCAACAAACACAAAGGCCCGTGTGCAGGGCACGAAGGGGGAACTGAATGGTCAAGGGACATTCCACACTGATGTCTGACACAAGCCCCCTCCCTCGGAGGCGGGCTGGCCCAGGGTCCCGGAAACACCATAACTAATGACAAATTGGAGCTGTCAGGCCAGAGAGGTTCAGCATAAAGAATGCGGTGATGAGGTAATCTTCAGGAAGAGAAACTGGGACAAGGTGCCTTCAATGTCAAGTGGACTCCAACAATGAAGAGAGGCGGGAAATGATATCATGGTGTGTGGGGGTGGTGGGGACCTGAGGAATGTACTGGAATGGGCTGTAACACAGAGTGGGCAGGGAGGAGGCCATCTTATCACCCCGGGGGCATCTGAGAGCAGTGGCAGGTCTGGCCTGGCGGGAAGGAAGAGAGTGACTGATAGATAAGTTGTTCCCTGAGAACTAGCTCCATCCCTTTCCTGGGAACATTTCCTTCTGGTCAGCTGCCTGCGTGTCCTCCCATACCTCAGGCCATGACAGAGTGCAGCAGTTACAGCAGAGAGCCGGCGAGCCTCACATTACCAGCTGGCCCTTTATCGAAAAAGCTTGCTGACCCTTGGTCTAGGCAATCCAGGTGGCTCAAAAACAACCACAGGCAATCCATAAATGGATGTGTATGACTGTAATCAGCAGAACTTTCTTCATAGAAACAGGTGGTAACTGGGTTTGGCCTGTGGCTGTGGCTTGCCAACCCCAGCCTGGAGCACACCGCCCAGCACAGAAGCACAGGGACAGAGAGCATTTCCAACCATTCAGAGCTAACCTTTGCAGTTCTCAGTGCTTCATGAATACTTGGCATCTAGGCAATGGTTGGCCTTCTGAGGTCTCATCATTTCAAGTAGAAGGAGACAGAGAGGGCTTGGGGCAGGTAAGACCTCTCCAGAGAACAAGACTGTCCCCCTTTTCCAGAACTCCCACTCAGCCTTAGAACCACAGTTCCTGTGTATCCCATCCTTTGCTGAGCCACCTGTGGGGTAGAGGTGGGCTATCCCTTTCTGCCTGGCATTCGTCCCTTTTCCTTCAGATATGGCACCCCTGTTTCCACTGGAGAATGGCCCTGCCTGTATGGTGTTCCTTCGTGGTGGGATCGCCATACGAACCCGTGCCCATGTGACCCAAGTCAGCCTCATCAGCGCTGTTTCCATGGAATCACCATCTTAGTTAAGCACTGAAAATGAGTAGGGCAGAGTCATTTACCAGTGGGCGAGCCATGAAGGTTGTCTGTTATTTCTGGCTACCCAGATTGCTGAGACTGCTCTCAGTTCTAATATTTCTGAAATTGATAATTGTGTGTGTGTGTATGTGTATGTGTGTGTGTGTGTGTGTGTGTGTGTGTGTGTGTGTGTGTGTAGTGGGAGGGGGTTGGTTTGTTTTTAAAATGTTTCTGATCACCCATGGTTTTCTAGTAAATTGCCTTTTAAAAAACATTCAATTAGTCAGATGAGGTTTCTGTTACTTGCAGCCAGAGAAACCTGATGTCACCTCTTAACTGGTCTTGTTGGCTCCAGAGAAAGCCCATTGCAGCCCTTACCCCCAATGTTACCTTTCAATAAACATAGATTAGATCCTGACACTTCTCTGCTCAGAAGAAAGAGAAGATCCAAAGTCCTCAGCAAGGCATTCAAAGCCCTCCTGGCTTGTCTCCACATTTCTCTTTTGGTCTTGACTCCTAAGACATATCTCCTCTGTGCACGCGCGAAGTTCCCCAAACACGCCAAGCACGTTTCTCTCTCTGGGAGAAATGGCCCTTGTTTGGCTAGACAGATATCTACCCTGGGGTAATCCCTGACGTAGCCTGAGTCCCTCAGCTGCACAGATCAGAGAGGAAGGGCCAGGAGACTGAACGGGAGAGTGGGCACTGCCCGAGGGTGGAGGAAACACACCAGACATGACCCCTAATCCTTGTCCCTCCACACCCTACTCCCAGCCCTGCCCCAGGACTCACATGTAAGCCTTGTAGTTGGATCCGATTTTCTGGATACGGATGTCGTACTTGGAGTCGATGAAGGCCTCGGTGGTGGCATAGGTTTTGGCCATGGCGACCACGCTGGTGATGTCCTGGAAGTCATGCTGGTTTTCTACTTTGATCTGTAGGGGAGTATGAGGAGGGTGAGTGCCACCCACCCTGTGCTCATGGAGCCTCCCCCGTGCCTCAACTGAGCGCTTTCCCATAGAAGGGCATCCCCTGGAACAGGGGAGATAGGCCCAGGAAGCAAGTCACCCCACAGCACACTGTACAGGCTGCAGAAGAGGAGGGTGCAGTTCCTCAGGTGGAAGAAGCACGAGTGGAAGAGTGAGCCCAGAACAGCACCTGGAGAGCCAGTGTGGTTCTGAGATGGGCTAAGCAGCGGGCCCGTTCTCTGGGGAGGAGCCAGGCCAGGCCAGGTAGGGTGGGGGGGAGGCAGGTGGTGCAGCCTGGCTGAGGGGAACGCTGGAAGGGCCATCGGGGAACAGTTCGGGAGGGCCATGAGAGCTGGGAAGGAGCGAAAATTTTAGCCTGGAAGTTCTGGAAAGCCACTGGGAGAGAGAGAGGATTTAAATAAGACCCTGGCTGACTTCATACTTTAGAAAAATCTCTCCAGCAGTTGTGTCCAGAATTGAATGGAGTAGGGTGTGGGACACAGAGAGACTAGTCAGAAAGAAGTGTGTTCGCATGCGGGGGTGGTGTGTATGTGTAAAGTGTGTGCGAGCAGTACATGGTGTATGTGTGTGATGTGTTGGCATTGTCTGATGTATGTTGTGTGTGTTCATGTGGTGTGTGTGTAGTGCATGGTAAATGTGTGTGGTATATTTGCTGGGTGTGATGTGTGCTGGATGTATGGTGTATAGTATGTGGTGCTTTTGTGTGCACAGAGTGTGTGTGTGTATAGAGTATGCAGATGTTTGTGTGTGTGTGATGTCTTCATATGTCTGATGTATGTTGTGTGTGGTATGTTCTGTATGTGCTCATCTTGTGTGTGTGCACAGTGTGTCATATATGTGTTTGGTGTGTTTTTTGTGTGTGATGCATGCTGTGTGCTATATGTATGCTGTGTAGTATGTGGTGCTTGTTTGTGCATGAAGTGTGTGTATATGAAGTGTGTGTAAATGTGTGTGTGTGGTGTGTCTGCATGTGTCTGATGCATGTTGTGTGTATGGTATGTTTTGTGCATGTACATGTGATGTGTGTGCAGTGTGTGGTATATACATTGTGGCTTACTGTGAGTGATATGTGCTGTGTGCTGTATTTGTTTTTTTTTTTTT